ACATTTTCGAGCTTTTTAAGATTGTTTCTTGAAATTGTAGCTCAGCTGAAATACCCTTCAGCTAGTAGAAGATATATTCCACCAGTGCATGAGCTGGCAAATCAGTTCAGTTGAAATAACATTTATCTTTATAAAAATATTTATGAAAATATTACTTGATCATTCAATAGAATTTACATTACAGTGCATTCTGGCACAACAAATCCACTGGTTTGTTTCATAGAGAAATAAATCATATTATTTGGACTTTTTTTTAACCAAATGTTCCAGCCACCACACCAATGGTTAAACCTACAAACCAGTACAAAACTCACATTTACCAACATACAGAACCACCATGTTCAAAACAGACATTACAAATACAAACAAAAAGCAACATTTGCAAACAAACCACCCAATTTAGCACGAGGCATGAGGCAGACACGATGCATGAATTAACCCACCGGACTGTCTCTGGTCATAGCTACTTCTACCCTTACTCGGTTACTGTATCAGTAACAGGTCAAACAGCTTTAACCGTTCTGACAAATTGTTTGGTAACAGACTGTGGAGCCAAATGGAGGTCAAAAGTTTTGATAATTTGAAAAACAAATGTGAACCTGAAAGTTTTGATCTTGAACATTGAAAACTACAATAATGTATCAAAAATAATAATAACTGGATGAAAAGTATTTTATTTGGACCGAATATAGTTTTGAATCCCTTGACCTTGATATTTTTTTATATTCTACATTTTTTGGTTGCAGATTTTGTATTTTCAGATTCAAATCTGATATTTTCAAGTTACAGATCTTTCTTTCAGTTTCAGATCATTTTTTTTCACATTCAGACGTTTGGCCCTAATGTGCGTATGGGGCGGGGCATGACATGAGTGACAGCTTAACAAATAAGGCTGAGGACAGATTCGGACTTCCCGGTTCAATAGCTGGTCAGCGAAAAATGGTTAAAACGACAACGCGTTTAAAAAAAAAAAACAGCAGACGGTTCAAGTTTCAAGACATTTGCTTGCGAATGTGTTTTGCGGGCGCCGACCTGATTTGCGTTCTCGGAATTTGACATTGGATTTTCATTAAATTTATGAAGACTTGAATTTGTTGATGACGTTTAGAGGACACCTCCTAAAAAAAACATTTTAAGAGAAATATATATAATAAATATTATATAAAAATAATATAATAAAACATAATATAATAAAAGTATTTAGGATCAGATCCCGGTTCTAAGATATATAACATTTTATTAATCATAGAAAAACCTGAAAAAGAAGCCCCTGCTTCTGATTAGCTAGTCCCTTATGACCCCTGTCTCTGGTCTGGCCTATGAAATGAAAGCAGAGAAGAGAATTTCAAGCCAGGGAGACAAAAGATGCTGCCCATTGCATCCTACCTTTAAACATGCAATTATGTTTTATTTAGGTAAACTTACTTTAATGCTAAATACCAAAGCAAAAAATCGATAGAAGCATGAGAACAGATATAACCAGAACAATTGTATACATTAAAAGTAAAAAGCACATACACCAGCCACTTTATTAGCTACCAATAAAGTAACCAAGGACTAGCAAGGTGTACATATTGTATTCGACTGAAGGTGTGATGCATAAATACCTGTGTTCTCCTTACTTGTGAAACATTAATGTGTTATGTGTTGTGGGAGACACACTGACATGTTCTTATGTTTTTCTTCTTTTGGATTCCACAGCTCAGTTGTGCATGTTAGTCAGCTGTGCCCTTTAGCATGACTTGTGCTTTTCTGCCACCACAATGGGTCACTGTGTGTCTGCCTCTGGTGTGTGGATGCGTCATTGTGTGTTTTATGCATATGCTAGTAGGTGCACACATGGACATTCAGACAGAACGTGTAATACAAAGACACAAACCTGCACACACACACACACACAGTATATGTCTTAAAAGCAGCGCTGCGCAAAGATTTTGTCACAAAATATCAATGTAACAAAGTAACCCAGAGACTCGAGGCCATCTTTCTAAACTCTGCTGCTTCAGACCGACAGCGACAGCTTCAACAATACAAAATCCTGCCTCAGCTCAACAACTTCTATGCTAAAAATACAGAACTTAAAATGGTTCTAGATGTCACACCGACTGACAAAATCTGGATTTCACAACTTACCCCCTGAACAGCAGCATGATAATAAGCATCCAGGTAAAAAAAGCAGTCCCTTTGCTGAGGTATCTGTAACTGCTGCTGGATGCTGCAGGCTGCTACTGTCTGTCAGGTAGAGAGACTCCCATGGACCAGCTTATTCTACGCTACAGGACGACCTCCTCCTCCTGTTGGTAAACACAGCAGCCTGGAGCCGCAGCAGTCCTGCCATGTGACCCCCCCCCCCCCACACACACACACGCAAACAAACATCCGGCTTATTACATTTGTGAAAACCCTCCACTGATTATACTTTAGTCGTGACTTAATCTTAACTATCGTTACATGAGAGGAGCAACTTGTTGATTAAACTGAAACTGAAGTGAGAAATGCGCTCAATTTCAATCGTAAACTCAATCACAGCCAATTTCTGTTTGTATATCTCATCAATTTGTAAATATCCATGCAGATATCCATGTATATACACATATATGTAGATCGTCATGTGTAGTCTGCTGCTGAAGACAGATGTTACATCAACCTCGGGTTCAGACAGCTGCTACAACAGCTGAAGCAGATGGCCTCTGAGTTCATGACCTTGTGTGTGTTCTCAGCTTCCGCCTGGTTAGTTTATTCATCCACCGACTACTTCATTCTAATGAGATGTGATTAAAGTAATAAAAGGCTGATGCATATTGATTTCAATTACCGTTCAACCCCGATAACCTCCTCCATCTTTTAATACAGCCTTTTACTTACTTTCCACAATCGATTCATGTTACCTCTATAAACCCATAAATCTGACTGAATATTGTTCTAACACAGTATTGCAGTTTAACTTGTAGCACTGATTGATATTTTTAAATTGTGGATTTCTTAGTTGTTATTTTGCAGTTTGAAAGTGAAGCAAAAGCGAGGTATATATGACGTGCCAAATCTGTTTAATCCTCACACACGTACGTCACTATGAATTGATTATTTCAGAATAAAGCAGTCACACTCAGACGGCTCCTATCCAGTGAAAAACGGCACCATTTGATGCCCTTTGCAAAGCCGCTTGACGTACTGCTGTGAGGACACCTGGTTGTGCACAAGCCAGCTTCACTTTTATTTATTGAGTGCAACGATTCTCGTCACTTTCTTTTAGTCTCACAAAAGAAGACACCAAGCTGTTCCCACTAAATAAAGAGGAGCCTGTTTTCATTTATCTTTAGGACTTTTGATCTGTTCTACGTCCCCTCAAAGAACACTGAGCCCTCGAGCTGATGTGCCGATGTCCAATTCATCTGAGAACACATGAGGTCACATGATTCCAACATCAAACCCAAAAAACTTTAAGTAGACTCCGCAATATTTACAAAGGAATCTGAAAACATTTTCCTCCAGTGATAATTGACAATTCCAACTCGTTACATTACTACTTAAAGTTAAGTATTCACTTTATAAAACATTGCTGTAAATGTGCCAGTTAGCCAAAAGGCTATTTTTATCTGTAGTCCCAAATGGCAGATGTTATAAAATAAATCTAAAAACAGAAGATAAGATTAGAATTGCAATTATAAACCGCTGAAACTACTTCATTTTAACGTGGAACCAATCAGGGACCATAAAAGCAGGACGATCGTCTTCCTGTAAGCTGCAGTGTTCATGTGGGAGCTGTTGGCTATTTGCAAAGTAATTGTATTAAAGTAATTCTATTTGAATAAGGATTAAACATGTTTGAATCTGACTTCCTATTTTGGCAATAAATGATTCCTGATTCCTGGTAACGTTATGACTGATGTGGTGGCTTATGGTTTATTTTTTAGTCAGTCCAAACTTACAGCGGCAGGCAAGGAGTTCTGGAAACCGAATGATGACTACGCTCACACTGCCTCCAAAAATATCCTGAACAGCGTAACATTTCTCCAGTTGGTGGAACAGTGTGTTTGTCTCCTCGGTTCGGTTCAAGGTTGCTTCAGCAGGATTACGCCCCATTTGTGACATTAACCTGAGATTCCACCTTCCACTCAAATCCAAATCTACTCTTTTAACCGTTGAGCTTTAATACATTATGAAAATGTCGAGGGAGAAAGAGACACATTCAGATTGGATAACGGCACTGCGTCTTGATGTGAAGGTGAGAGGAGAGAGAGGCCAGCGGAACAACGGGAAAAGTGAAAAGAAGACTTCCAGAAACAAACTCCAAACACAAGAAGTCCGGATGAGAACCAAAATGGCTTCAAGCCATAGACGTACTGTGCCTCAAACGACATGTTGCCTCATCACACTCACATAACTAACATTACTGGTCCAACTGTGAACTCTTTTATCCAAGAATTCACACACTGCACAGGGACAGCGCACATCGACCAACACAAAGTCTTTGCTCTCATCAACTCATTGTTGCAGTTATAGGAATATTTTGTTTTGGACGGCATTCAACTAATTGTTTTTTGTGTTATTAACCACATTATCATAATTACGTAAGGACCAAATTAATATAATTATAGATTAAGCCTTTCTAAGAAAGTATCGTTTATTGTGTGTAGGTTGGGGAATCGTGTCTAACATTAAATATGGGATGAGATCCCCTTGTAATGTGTGTACACGGTATATATAGTTACAGGAGGCCTCATTGTACACACCTTTCCAAGGACAAAGACTAGAATCAGCGTCTCTACGTCAACAAGTACCTGACTAAATATCCGGCAGACAAGACAAGCACGATTTTACATAATCAATATCCAAATTCAGAATATGCTATTGTGGAATGTAAAAATTGCCGTTACAGCTGACATTTTAAGAAGATACTTTAGATCCCTGTTTTACAAGTCATTATGAACGACAGTGTGCGTTTTTATGTTCATACATTTCACCAACGATATATATATATATATATATATGCACCTTACCTCAACTTTACACCAGCCAGCATCCACCAGCAGACACATGTATTCTTTCTAACATGTTTGTGTACAGATCCACCTTTTGTCTGTTCAAATGAAAGGCTGCTGCTGAGGCCAGCGTCGCTGTCCCGGTGTCTCCTAAGTCTTTCTTCAGATGGCCCTGTCCCACCCCGAAGGCCTTTCTTTGTCCCAGCCCGAGTGGGTCCACCGCTGCGCTCTCAGCCACTGACCCCAGTATCGGAGTTGTTGGTCAGAACGGCCACTACACTTCCTCCGATTCTTTCCCAACATAGTTTTCCTGCCTGCTGGTTGGTTTCCCTGGGCTGAGCTAAATATAGGGCTCACACAAGGTGCAGTGGAAAAGAGCAGAGCAGGAAATGTTTCACAACATGCTTTTACGCACGTTTTAGTTTGTTTCAGTGTTTCCTCCTGTCTGAAAGATTCAAGAAAACTTTGTAAGTCAAATGTTTAGTGGAATAGTATACTTGCATGTCTCAGAGTCATCTTTGACATCTCTGTATAGGAAATGTGTGTGTGTGTGTGTGACAGAGAAAGCTGTACCATGTTGGACATGCAGAGTGAAGACATCTTTGTAAAGTGAGGACAAAGCTTCAAAGGTTAGTTTGAGGGTTCATGCTTAATTTTAAGGTTTAGGTCAGAGAATCCGTTATGTCAACGAGATATAGAAGTACAAGGTTTTGTGTGTGTGTGTGTGTGTGTGTGTGTGTGTGTCCACATTGCTGGGGTCGACCCATCCCATATTCCCCCTAATGACGTCGTACACATTGTTTTGTCTCTCATGGCTTCTAAAAATGCCTGAACCAAAACACCGACTGCACATCCTGCTGCCTGGCTGGACACAAATAATTGAAGTCAACTTGTATTGTGTTTCCCACTAAGGGCTGTATGACTGACGCTATAACTAGATGTACTTTACAGCAATTTAAGAACAGAGTAAACACGTTGATAAAACTATCAAATGCTGACATTTGGTTTTCATTTTTGGCGCATGAAGTAGAGAGGAGCCTTCTGACCGCAGGGTTGATGGTTCAAGCCCCGGCTGCTGCATGGGGGGACCACTGGCTTAAAGGCAGAGAATCATTTCCCCAAGGGGATCAATAAGGGACACTTTATTCTTTCTTAACCGTTCAAAGGAATTGGATTTTTTAATTTGAAAACACCATGTTTGCATTTTAGTCGACAGGCAGAAACAGAAAGCTTTGACAAAGATGAAGCACACGTACATGTTTGATTCTCTAGTTGCTCACGATTCTTTCAACCTGCATAAGAGATTACGGGTGTTGCTGAGTTTCTTCTCCGCTAACATGTGTCGCTCGGTTAGATTCTTTTACTGCCTACGTGTGCAGGAGGGAGGCTGCTAATCGAGCGCTTTGAGACAATGAACCAGTCAGTCGAACCAGCCACAGTCACAGTGACAAGACAAAGACGAGCCCTGGGGACACAACTTGAACTTAGAAGAACAAACTGAACAAACTGTTATTTGACCACAAAGTGGCATCTAAAAGAAGGCAGCAAAATGTCCCACTGTTTTTTAAAACCAATACTGTGTCTCACCTGTCAGGTTCAATCTTTTACTTTAATGGTAAACCTATAAATAATGCTCCCATTTCTCACCAATGTTTGGTCCATAGAAAAAATATCCATTACAGTTTGGCCACAGATTGCAAAGGCAGTGCAGTGTAGAAACTGATGAAAGGTCAACATCTACTTTGTAGCAAAGATTGATGCAAAATAATATGTATACGATATAAATCATACATTTTTACTTTTACCTCCAAAACACACCTGTTAAGAGTTGAAAGCCAATATAATAACCATCAGGACACCTTACCTTACAGACTGTGATCCAGACAAACATCAGATGACCTCGGCCGCCTTGGTTGTAATCCTGTATTATGTCAAAATGTACTTTAGGTGCTGTAGGTTATAACTGTGTCTCCAATAACTACCAACAACACTCTCCCTTACTGTTCCACTCACAGTCTATAAATAGATTCTGAGTTTACTGGAAACAAAGGTTGGTGTGCAGGACAGCTCTGCAAATATCACTGAGTAGCCTTGTGACACATAGAGACGGAGGGGAGGAGCAGACACGGACCTCTAATCTTCATGTTCTTCTGCTACTGACTGTTGGCCGTCCTCGGGGAGTAAATACAGTTGTGGTCAAGTTTACATACAAGAACATCGTGTCCTGGCTCTCTTGAGTTTCCAGTTATTTCTACAACTCTGAGAGTGATTGGAACAGAACTTGATTGTGATTGGAACTTCTTTGTCACAAAAACCATTCATAAGGTTTGGTTTTTGACTTTATTATGGGTCAACAGAAAAAGTGATCAAATCTTCTGGGTCAAAAATATACATACAGCAGTGCTAATATTTGGTTACATGTTCCTTGGCCATTTTCACTTCAGATTAGGTGCTTTTGGTAACACTTGTTAACCAGACATGTTGCATTACTTTTTGTGTTGGTTTCATGGTTGTTAGGACGCCTAGTTTATAAATGTTGAAGACGAAGAATAACGCAGAATGTTCCTCTGTGTAACCTGAGGTTTATGAGTCTTCACTTTAACAGAAACACCCCTGAAAAGTCGCTGACGAGGAAAACAGAAACACACCTTCCCCTTCGTCCCCTTCATCACATACACAACAATCATCTTTTAATGGTTTTAAAACAAAGAATTGAAGGAATGATGCAGCAATTAAATCTTATTTCAATTCTCATCTGGAAGCCTGACTATTGTTTTCAGACTCTCTGCACCTGTTTACTGGTCGTCATTCGATTTATAAATGGATTCAAGCTGTCAACAAAATATCTGAAGTTTGTTAAAGGGAAGATCAAGCTGTGTATATTAATCAAGACTTCCACTCACATCTTCCACAAAAAACGTTTAACCCTCCACCAAATACAAGTGATACGTTCCCGCCAACGGGTCATTTCTAAGCTTTTTTACAGTTACATTACAGGTCATTTAGCAGACGCTTTTATCCAAAGCGACTTACATTACACTTTAAACCCACATTTTTGCCCGGGGAGCAATTAGGGGTCAGGTGTCTCGCTCCGGGACACTTCGACATCGAACAAGGGGCAGCCTGGAGTCGAACCACCAACCTTGTGCTTCCCAGCACAGCTTCTCTAACCCCTGCGCCACACGTCTGTGCTTAATGCTGATTTGAGTTCCTACCATTTGAAACAAGTGGAAGGTATAACGACACGCATATGATGAAGCTTCTGGAACGAAAGCTTTCACAATTAAAAAAGTAAAAGTGCAAACATAGAAATATTAACTTGATGTTTCAAACATTAACAACTGAAAGGCCGGCCAGTGCAAATATCACAATGTGTGTTGTTCTACTAAGGGGTTCAATGTACACTGTTTATGAAATCCTAGAAAAATGGGTTTATTCATTTACAGATGACAAATGTATCAGCTGTTTTCCCGCCCTTTTGTTTAAACGCGCCTCCTCTCCAGTTACTGTTGAAGCAGCTCCACAACCTGACGAGACATCGCAGCAAAGTGCAGATAATGAACACGCATTTCATCTTTAAATACCCCATGTGTATGTTGAAGGAAGGAAGAAAGGAAGCAATACCAGGAAACTCAGTCAGACAATGAACATTGTGTTATGTCCAAAAACAATAAGTAGTTTTATGATTGCATTTTCCCAGTCTTACAAAACAGAGACAAAATCCAACAGAGCTTAAGTCTAACAGCTTTACATTGGCATCTTTTTTTTTTAAAACATCAACGCGTTAATATTAAAGGATTTGGTGGCGCTGTAGTGGCAGACAGATAGATGGCAGCAGACCGTTGGCCTCTCCACGCTGTTAAATACCCACAATCAGTGGGACTGGGTCAAAAAGGAAGAAAATAAGACTGGATCCCCCCACACAAGTCCATAGGGTTTGTCGTTACGTTACAAGAGCTACTTCAGAACATACAAAACACATTTTATACAATTCTATGTTTCTACCCCCCCACAGGCACCACACGGGTTCAATCTTCCCCTCGGGGAATCGATGCTGGTTTCATGTAGTGTGTACGTGTTGCAGTGCAGAGTATACGAGTATTAGTTGCTAGAAATTTCAGGGGGATTTCTTTCAAGCAAACTTCAGCCCCCCCAGCTCAGGGGACGGCCATGTCATCTGATGCGTCTTTGGTGATCCCCTTACTTTGTCTTTTCAGCGCCATCATCAGGCAAAACTATTTAAGTGTCTATTTCTGTCGTTTGACTAAGTAGCCCCAGAATCTGAGATCGGATTTATATTTTGTGCTACTTCAAAAATACTAGCAGTCAAAAGGCGGCAGAACTAAGTAAACTACCAACATTATACCTATATGAGGATGAGGGCCAAAATCACTATTTACAGGGCACAACACATTATTCATTCTCAGAATATCACACATAATGCCCTCGAAACTTCCTGTTGGAATGAAAAAATGTCATGTTGACAGGTGACCTACTTTTTGCTAATAGTTCTTTATTTGATATATTAAGATATATATATAAATGTATATCTGTAACGGCGCTGCCATTCGGCTTTGCGGCCAACACTGTGGAGCCCGGCTGATTACCCCCCAGCTCTGGCTCCCAATATTCAGCACACAGAAGAAATCAATCAATCTCTCAAAAGGAAAGTTGCAACAAAAATGTCAAACTTTCTTTTAAACAACAAGTTGCGATTTCAACGGCGTAGCCTGGAAGTTCATAACAACCTTTTCTGGATTTAGGTCTTAATATTGGGAGTACTTTATGATATGTTGGACAAAAAAAGACAAATTATGAAAAACCAAAAATACAACACCGGGAGAAAAATAGACCCACAGGTTTTTAAAACAGAAGGGAAATACAGGGAGTGAATAAAAGAACACGACACAGATCTGGAAGAATATTTAAATAGTTGAGTAAAATATTTCAACGATTAATTCAAAGGAAAGGGTTCAGGTATATGTGAATTACAACCCTCAAATCCCAAACATCCTCACGGTCGCCTGATGAGTGTTTTGGGATTCATGAGTGCCGCTGGACGCTGTAACCAAACCAGAGGGCTTCCTCTTTCCTCTCATGGTTTAGTGTTGTTGTTTTTTGCAGTGGCTGAATGTTGGTGGACAATACGAGCTTGTGCGTGTGGCTTTAGTGTCTCTCGTCGCCCCTTAGTGTCCGTCCACGCTCCCGCTGTGTGTCGACGTTTGGTGCGGCGCTGCCGCCACGCAGTAGTTGGGTCTGGCAGAGGCGGTGAAGCCCGGCAGACACACACACTGATAGGAGCCCATTGTGTTGATGCATTTTGCATTTCTGCACAAGGACATCCGATTGTTTAGCTCGGAGCACTCGTTCACATCTGAGGACAGAGGAGGGCGGATGGGACGGTTATTACAAACGAATGCTACGTTTTTCTGTGTTCTAGTTGTGTGGAAGTGTCCTCTTACCAACGCAGGCCATGCGGGACAGGTCCAGTGTGTACCCATCGAAGCAGTCGCAGGTGTAACCCTCCTGGACTCGGACACAGCGACCGTTCTCACAGCCATTCAGGATCCCACACTCCTCTGCTCGCAAACCCTCGAAGGCCTTCAGCCGATCTGCAGTCGGATAAGACCAAGAAACTCCAGGACTTCAACTAGACAGCTGCGTGTACGTCTAGCAGCGCATTCCAAACATAATTCAGTACACTTTATACTCATACCCATTTGCCCAGATTTAAAAAGTCAGAGACCACAGTTAACACCATTCAACAGGCTCATGGAAACCCTTAAACTGTCAGGCAGCTCCAGCTTGTTCAGAAGGCTGCTGCAAGAGTTTTAACAAAGACCAAAAAATGTGAGCACATTACACCAATTCTTAAATCCTTAAATTGGCTCCCAGTATGGCAGAGAATTCATTTCAAAATCCTACTGCTCACATATAAATCACTACATGGTTTAGGGCCAAAGTATATCACTGATATGCTTCCACTACATAAGCCTTCAAGATCACTAAGATCTTCTGACACCAATCTGTTAGTGATTCCCAGAGTAAATGAAAACTGCTAAGGTAATTCCGATTTTTAAAGAAGGTGAAAAAAACCTTTACAATAACTACAAACCAGTCTCCCTGCTTTCCCAATTTTCCAAAATTTTGGAAAAAATATTTGCTACAAGGATGGACAGTTTCATAGATAAACATGGATTACTCATAGATAGTCAATATGGTTTTAGCCCAAACCGATCAACATCATTGGCACTCATGGACTTAGTAGAAGAACTGACAAGCACAATAGATAACAAAAAGATGGCAATAGGGGTCTTCATAGATCTGAAGAAGGCATTTGACACAATAAACCATGATACACTGCTACACAAACTGGAAAGCTATGGGATCAGAGGGGTTGGACTAAATTGGGTACAAAGTTACATAGGACAAAGAAAACAGTTTGTACAGATAGGGGATAAGAAGTCCACCTTAAGAAATATTACCTGTGGTGTGCCGCAAGGATCAATACTGGGTCCAAAACTATTTATTATTTATATAAATGACATAAGTAATGCTTCCAGGATCCTGAAAAATGTTATTTTTGCAGATGACACAAATGTATTCTGTGAAGGAGGGAACCTCGAACAGTTGTTGGAGGCGGTCTCGACTGAGTTAACCAAGCTGAAATTGTGGTTTGATATAAATAGATTATCACTTAATGTAAAGAAAACCAAATTTATGGTCTTTGGTAAAAGTAACACACAAGCAAACACACACATTGAACTAATGATCGATAATATAAAAATCGAAAGGGTGTTTGAATACTCCTTTCTAGGTGTAATGATAGACCACAAGCTCAGCTGGAGGCCACAGGTCACTCGTGTACAATCAAAATTGGCACGATGTGTAGGGATACTAGTCAGAGTCAGACATATATTGAATATACAATCACTGCATACACTGTACTGTACACTGTTTGCCCCCTATTTGAGTTACTGTGTGGAAGTGTGGGGTAATACCTACAAAAGCACCCTACAGGCAATATGCACAATTAAAAAAAAAGCAATACGGATAGTTAATAAGGTGGGGTACTATGAACACACAAACACATTATTTCTGAAATTAAATATATTAAAATTTATGGACTTGAAAGATTTTAAAATGTTACAGATTGTATTTAAAGCAAGAAACAGCCTACTCTCAGGAAACATTCAAAGTTGGTTTAGCGACAGACTAGGAGACTATAATTTAAGAGGGAGACTGAAACTGAGGCAACCAAAGGTGCACTCTACACTGAAAAGCAGGTGCATATCTGTGGGGTGAAGTTGTGGAACAACTTACCAGATAAGATCAAAGATTGTAAACATATTGCACAGTTCAAAAAACATCTTAAATTATACACATTAGCCAAATATGAGATCTGTGAAAATATTCAGTGAAGGAAATTTAAATTGTATTTATTTGTGCGTGTGAGTATGCGTGCGTGTGTGTGGGTGAGAGTGTGTGTGAGAGAGTGTGTGTATGTATGTATGATATTAATCTTCAAAGTAATATATACTAATTGAGAATATGGATAAGAAAGGGGTGGGTATCTATAAGCTTTTGCTTCCCCCAACTCCTTTTCTTGAACAAAAGGTGTATTTTCTCATTTTGTGGTCTACGTCTATGTTGATTTTTAAATTTTTTATTATTTGGTGTCTACATGTTCAAGAAATAAAATGCTTCAAATCAAATCAAATCAAATAAATACACATCATGGGAACGCATCATTTAGTTACCACGCAACAAACAGCTGGAATAAACTTCCTGAAGATTTAAGACTTGCCCCAACTCGGACCACGTTTAAAACAAGACTGAAAACTTTTATGTTCAGCTTTGCCTTCTGCTAAATTTGACCTACATTGCACTTTTAACCTCTGCTTTTAATTAAACAATTTAAATAAGATTTTAATTTATAATTTTATTTGCTGTTTTTAATTGTCTTCTAATTCCTGCATTTTATTTCACTTTATTGTATGAAATGTTATAACGTGAAGCACTTTGAGTCTGCCTTGTGTATGAAAAGCACTATACATATAAAATTGCCTTGCCTTGCCTTAAACGAGGACAATGAAAACAGTCATATTAATAGCATTATCGGTCGTAACATTTTAACAGACAAGTTAACAATTAGAAAAGAGGAGCATCTATACATGGCTAATGTATGTTCATCAGCGGCCCTTTGGAGAACCTCAGTGATGCAGGTTATTCAGAACCTTTGTTCAATCAACTTTACCGTTTGAAAGAGATTTCAAATATGAATGTCCACTCAAGAGTTCTCTAGCTTTCTCTATTGCGCCACTGCAGTCTTAGGGCCGCCCACTAAATGCTCTCATTGGTTGACACATGTAACGACGCCCCTCCCCCTTTTACCCATGTTTTTTCTGTAATCTGTATTTAGAGCCATTGAGCTTTCCAAATAATAATACAAAAAAAACTTTTAATGCACGATAAAATATTTGTCCGCGTTAATTAATTGCTCAGACCTAATTTAAAGCACCAGTCAAAAGTTTGAAAACACTTTGTCATTAAATTGAATGAGAAAATGTTTCCAAACATTTGACTGAACCTGTATATTACAACTCTCTAACTTATCCAAATAACTGTAAAGAATTGGTATTGATCTGATTGACGTTAGTTCTATAAAATAAATCCAGTGTTTCAGTGTCTTCCTCTGTTAAAATGAAAGAAGTTTGAAATATAAAATACTCACCGTCCTCATTGTCGTAAAAAGGCAGCACAGCGTGCTGCTCGGGGGATTGTGAATAGTCTGGGCTCACTTCATATTCGTGGACAGGTCCAGCAACGAGGGCATCGCGACCGTACACCTGCCGCCCGCCGACGTTACACATGGACGCATAATCCTCTTAGAGGGAGACAGAAGGAGAAAGAAGACCAAACACGTTCAAAGACAGGCTACAGAGTTCCGCAACATTTAGTACATCTGAGGAGCCAGAGATGACTATAACGATGACTATAACGAATAGCAAGACACACGTCTTGCTATTCGTTGGGTGCAAGGATGGTTTTTGCTGTGGCTACAAATAATGGCAATTTGGTGTGTATTTTGTGTAAGTTGAAGCTTACTGGGGAGAATTAAGGGGGCCATGCAGAGCCATGAAGGACTCTCTACTGGTCTTGGGCCACCTCAGTGGTGCATTCGATCAAATTAATTATCGTATCCTCTGGAGAGAATATAACATTTAATGGGTTTTAATGAAGCTGGTTTAAATCCTATTGTGTGGATCGATACCACTTTGTGTTTGTAAATGATGAACCCCCAATGCTCATTATTATTATTAGTTTCCTTACTATTACTGTCATGGTGGTTCTATCTGATGGTGGTTCTATCTGGATGCTGGTTCTATCTGATGCTGGTTCTATCTAATGCTGGTTCTATCTGATGCTGGTTCTATCTGGATGCTGGTTCTATCTGGATGCTGGTTCTATCTGATGCTGGTTCTATCTGATGCTGGTTCTATCTAATGCTGGTTCTATCTGATGCTGGTTCTATCTGATGCTGGTTCTATCTGATGCTGGTTCTATCTAATGCTGGTTCTATCTGATGCTGGTTCTATCTGGATGCTGGTTCTATCTGATGCTGGTTCTATCTAATGCTGGTTCTATCTGATGCTGGTTCTATCTGGATGCTGGTTCTATCTGATGCTGGTTCTATCTGGATGCTGGTTCTATCTGGATGCTGGTTCTATCTGATGCGGGTTCTATCTGGATGCTGGTTCTATCTGGATGCTGGTTCTATCTGGATGCTGGTTCTATCTGATGCTGGTTCTATCTGGATGCTGGTTCTATCTGATGCTGGTTCTATCTGGATGCTGGTTGTTCCTGCAGTGGTCCTGCCTCACATCTACTGCTGCTGTCATTATCATTAGTAGTCATATTACTACTTCTGACACCATTTCTGCTTTTGTTAACTTTATCCAATACAGCTGTTTTTGAAAGTACGTTTACGTTGTTCATTCACTACACATGACTATCTATCACACTCAGTCTATTTATTCGTTTTTTTTCGTTGAGGGTTTTTGGGGGGAGTTTTTCCTATGCAGATTTGGGGGTTCTGGGACAGATGGTGTTGCAAGTGAACATTGGGCTATGCTAAATAAATTGAATTGAATAACTATATTGATCAAATTGGATCAATTATGTTTGTCTTACTTCTTAGTCAGTTTCTGCGATGCCTTCAGAGACAGTTTGGTAAACTTAAGACAAACACAGCTGTGAATAATCTGGCTTTTGCTGTCGTACATTCATTCCCGAGCGATGGAATGCATTTGGACTTGTGTCAAATCAAACACAACTGGAAGAACAGAAAGTCCCAGGTAAATGACAGTGTATCTGATGCTGTACATGTGTGTGTGTGTGTGGTGTGTACCGGTGTTTCTGGGTGGGCAGAGGGCACAGTCCATGCCCCAGGCCTCTCCATGCAAACAGCAGCACTCTGTGTATGTGGTCTTCCTGTTGGGACCCAGAGGCCGTGTGCACGTCATGGTCTCTGTCACCGCCTGCCAGCAGATACCCAGGTAGTCTATCTGCTCCGCCTCATGTTCCTCTGCGCACACGCACACACACACAGGATTAACACACAGATATAAATTAAGTACATTGCCATAACTGGGTTGAAGCATATAAGCTGCACCAATCTATCTACATTTCATCAGTATTCATTTGTATTGGTTTGAAATGTGTGCAGGGTGAGAGCAAAGCGGAGGCCTTGCATTAAGGGTTGTGGTACTAAGATGTACACATTGTATTTGGTCTGTCAGTAACTCTCCATCGGGCAACACAATAAACAGGAGAAGGCAAATACTTTGTACAAAACAATTTAGCACAGCAAAATATTACTAAAAAGTTGAAGCCACCAGCAGCAGGTTAATGAATCAGCCTCTGACACCAAACACGATCGTGCACACAATCAATGATTGTTTATCAAAATATTTTAGAGCTAATGTGAAACTTTAGTGGGCTGAATGCTTTTCTTTCCTCATTGTAGTTGTTCATAAATTCACCCTTTTATCTATAAACGATATTTTGAGGATGTCGTATGTTTTGATTTAGTTGGTTGTGTGATTTGCTTTAAAGATGTACTAGCAAGTAAACAATGTATGGCCCTATAAACAACATATACTGAAGTCATTTACACGTATGTGTATGTATTCATTAATATGCCGTCTACGGCAGCATTTTAGATGAGATATAATCGATTCTAAACAGAGTTTCTTACCAACCACCTCCGGGATGAAGACACAGCTGTTACTGGTGGGGTCCAACGACATCGGATGTGTACAGAAACACATGTATGAGCCGTCTGTGTTCAAACACTGTCCGCCAGCACACGCAGACTCATCCAGACATTCATCGATGTCTGCGGGACATAAAGTGCAATCAGGAACAGTGAATGGAAAAACAATCCCAGCTGCACTTCTTCGTCCTACGCTGCTTTGGATCTGTCCTCTCTGTCCTCTCTGTCCCCTTGTGTACTTAAGTGCTGTGTTCTGTGTCGACTGTGGCCAGATTGTCGAGCGTCCCAGCACTTTTGCTCCCGGCCCTGCTTTCCAACCGCGCCTACGAGCCTGTTGCGGTTTTTGGGGTCCCGCCTCTGCCTGACCCTTCAGTACCTTTGCCTGCCACTTGTTGTTGTGCACCAAACTTGTCCTCGACCAAACCTCAAGAAGACAAAGCATTGCATTCAAACACAGATACAAAAATAGATTCACACAAACTTTTTATCCATAACTAACTAAGTAACTGAGAAAATAAACTTGCTCCTGTAATAACATTATTATATATTGGAGTTAATTTTACTTCCCAAATACCAAGAGTAAAACTATCAGTTATCAGGGCAGTAAACACAGCGGCTTCTAGGACAACACCTGGAAAATATTCAAATCTCCGGGATTAAAAGGAAATACACGATTCGCAGAGCATAAACAAATAACCGAAGAACAACAACAACAACAACAACAACAGTAAGACCCCTTTAAAACTCAATAGTGCTTTAGCAAAATAATCTAAACTCACAGTTCAGCTCTTTGTTCATCTTTTTGGAGCAATTGAAAAGCTCCTGTTCTCTTAATCTCACTCTTTTGATCGAGCTGATTCTGTTTGAAATATCTGAAAGTTCTCCACAAACTGCAGACATAAAGCAATGCACTATGAAGGTATTCTAGAAATCCACTGGAACATTTTCAGGTTGCTTGCTTTGCAGCAAAACAATACCATTACATTACATACAGTACGAGTGAATAGGTATTTGATTCCTCCTAGTTCAGCCTCGGTTGCTGTGCTGCTGCAGCGTCTGTTCATCTGCACATGTATAGTTATGGGTGCTTAATGTGTTGTTGCATTGGACAGCAGCTTATCAGTCTCACGTAGAAGGCAATGGAGGGAACCTTCCCACACACGCAGCTTACACTGACCTCTGCACTCCAGTTTGACGGCGTCGTAGTCCTGTCCCATCTTGCAGTAACATTCGTAGCTGCCGACAGTATTGGAACAGAAGCCCCCTTTGCACACCTCCTTACCAAACAGTGTACATTCATCTGCATCTGCGAGCAAGCAGAGAGAAGGCAGGTGTTCGCACATTCAGAGAGTTTATGTTGGGTTACATTAAAGAACCAGAACTGGACTGTGGATTTATGTCAAAGTATAATGGTTTCATGTAGGGGAAACTATGACGTGAACAGAAATGAATTTAGCCTTCATGAAGAATTATCAGACAGACTCAGATATCAATTATATAATTATCCATCCTTATGTATTTCTCTCTGTCTGAATCAAACAACTATATTTCCATGTAAACAATATCAGCAAAAAATCTGAGTTTATTATAATCGACAACGACATGAATGGTAAATACACTGTTATTGTATTTCTTTTTTTTAAATAGCAATATGATTTAATATATTTTAATGTGCAGAAGACAGCTGAATCAAAAGTGTCTTCAAAGAAGATATAAGAGAACATGAGGTGTTATTCTGATGTTCTCAGTGTAACATCACTGAGTCAAATCTATGTGCTTTAAAACCTGTTGCACCCTTTTATGGTGGAAGCCGAGGCAGAACCCACTTCCAACAGGAACATCGTGTGCTCATTACAAACAAATATATGAAACATTAGAGTCTTTGCTACAATCTGCACTAATCCGTTTGAAAAGCCTCCAAACACAACAAGTTATAACATGTGATATGCTAATTAGTGCAGAAACGTGCACATGCGCTTATGTACATTTCCTCAGCAGAGCTAAAGGAGAGATAAAGCTCAAGACGCTGATATATTTAAGCCAATCCACCATCTGCAGCTCATTTTACGCTCTCGTTTCGGCTTCTGAGAAGTTTAGGATCAGACCATTTGAAAAAGTGTTTGAAAGGCGTGAATCGGCCAAGCAGAGCCGGACATGTTAGTCGTGAGGCCTGCACAAAAGCCTCCTCTAGAGTAGTAACCCCGACTCTATCGACGTGAAACTTTCCATCCTTACTGTCCACACACGGGGCTATCACGCCCATGGGTCCCCTTCATCACAGAAAAAAAAGTCCAGATAGACAAAGCAGTTACAGAGTTATGACACATGTCGTTATGGGAAGGCCATTTTCGGAGCAGAGGCCAAAAGCAGAGAGAGGAACACGTTGAGGTTTGTGTTACCTTTGTAGCTGTCGGATGTGGGTACTCCATACAGCAAGTCTCCATTGGGAAGAAAGCCTGATCCGTATGGACACATCTCATTGAAGTGGACTGAAGGGGACAGACATGGAGGTTAGGAGCGAACTGTCAACCGACGTGCGTGTTTGTGTGTGTCTGCATAGCTACAGCATATACACAATGGTCAACTTCCAGTACGGAGCGGTTCAGCTGCTGCTCAGTCATTAGAAAGGTTGAGAGTCCTTTAGGCCCTTTGCATGGAAGGTGTTACGTAATGTACTTTCTGACATTGTTACTAGAGGCCTATTAAACAAGAATTCAATACAATGACATAGACAACAAAAAAGTTGGAACTTTTTCTAGTGATATTGCATCAACATACAGTAACATGTGTGACGCAAACACAGCGCACTATTTGGCCACGTAGTATACATGACTGGTATACATCACTACTTTCCTTTCCGTCATCAGTGGAGCTTTTGTGGTCCGAGTTACATTCATAACAGAAGTAGCTATGGTTTTTAAAGACTATGTTACGCTGTGTAAATTCTGAATATGAACCAAGATGTTAAAAACACACTCACACCCACTACTACTAAAACCGAAAACGGTCTCAGTACACATGCCGCTTCAGTATCGTTTGAGGTGATCTGTGACAACACGGCGACCTCCGCAAAAGTCACATGACCATTAACTGGGCGCGCGTGTAACGGCGTAAACAGGAAGATGATATACACGCGGTCATGTGACAGGAGTCTGACCAATCGGTTATTGCCAAACTTAACTCACCTGTTCCGTTGACAGGGCAGGGATGCACCTCACAGTTGTCCCCCCATCCTGCTCCCAGTGTGCAGCAGCACTCCTGCAGGGTGACATGGCTGATCAGCACACTCTCACACAGGTTCTCATCGTTCAGACGATAGTAGCACTCTTTTCGCTCCACTGATGGCACTGTGTGAAAAACAAAGGAAGAGCGGGGAGGAAGAATGGACAGACAGCAGGACGCAGGGATCAGACAGGAGATAACGGTTGTTTAGCTCAGTGTAAGCTATTCTATTGGACATTAGACAGAGCAGGGGTCTACGTATGTGAAATGGAAAAATCCACCATGCGTTCAAAGGAGGAACTGCACCTTCACCAAAACATATCCAGATTTATTACAGCCTTTCGTGCTCCTGGCTGTTAGTCGTTTCCTTTTAGAAATGCAGCTGTAAGACTGTGCAGAAGGTTCAGCCTCACTTCCAGTACGACATATTCAGAGTCTCACGTAGATGCATCACCCTGGATTTTCTTATGGCACTAAGAGAAAGGCTGATATTAAAGATATGGCTACTTCCGCTCATTCCTAATGAGCCGATTTGCCAGGTGAGCACATGTGTGACGGTCGCCGTGGTTACTCCTTGGATAGCCGTTTGCAGTTATTCTGTGTACAGCATGCTGAATCTATCAAATGAAGCATACATGAAAACATTTGAAAAGAAACTAAGATTGCACTAATGCACAGTACTAGAAGCGTGTCGCTCTGTACAGCATTTCTTTAAGGTAACGGAAGTTGTTTCTGTGTCTCCTTTGTGCTCCGCGGTGGAGACGGCGCCGATGAGATATCAAGACAAATTTCATGTGAGGTTTTACTCGGTTTATATCTTTAAAAGTCTATATGTACTTATAGGTGTGGGCCACTTGTTCAACCATAAATAGCACTGCTGATTTCACTGTTTCCAATATGGAGATTATACGAGTGCACAGTAACGTGTGCTATGAAGTGGAAGGAGATGTTCGAGGTGTCATTATTGTAAGAGCCATGGGTTAAAGATGTAATGTAAGTCACTTTGGATAAAAGCGTCAGCTAAATGACCTGTAATGTAATGTAATACAATTATATCTGTCTATGGCTTATAAATGAGACCCCAGAGCTCCTGAAAGCCTAAACTGATCATTGCGTTGGTCCAGGACCAGCCAGTTGTTGGTACTAGAAACACATCAATAGACCGAATTTCACTACACAGAAAACAAGCCATGTGCACAACATTGATGATTGAGAGGGATCACGTCTACACATTCCTTTTTTATATTACACCTTAATATTAACGGCTGGGAAATGTCACTTTGGAATTGATCAAACAGCCAACCATTTTGCAACTTAATACATCGAATACATCTTGTTGAGATGCGTCTCTGATTCTACCCGCTATGTGCAACGGCCCTCCTTTATTCATCATTTGTTCATCACTGTATTCATTGCTTCTGTTCATGCATCATCGGGTTATGCATTTCATTTGTCTGTTAGTGGATATTAGTTGTGTGTGTTGTCACTACAAAGACCAGCCTATGTGGTTTGTGTGTATGAAGCATCGGGGTTGTGGCCCCGTGGTGGATTTAAGCAAAGAAATATTCTGTGATTTGTGGCTAATAGCAGAAGTCTACTGAAATCCCTTCATGTCATCAAAACATCATTCTGGAGCCCGTTGAGGTACAAGTTCTCATTTTATATTCTGCCATCATTTCTTTAATGTATGCTAATATATGTAGTGCGTGTGTTCACCCGGATGTATGCAGGTTACATGTCATTTGTACAGCTGAACACGGGTCACCTGTGGGAACTGGCTCACACTTGGCGATCATGACGTTATATTCCTGGCCGCTGGGGCACATGCAGAGGAAGGAACCCTCGACATTTACACACTGGGCCTCTCCACACACACTGCCCCGCAGCTCACACTCATTCACCTCTGTGGAGACACAACAGAAGAACACATGGCTACATGTTATTTTGAAGTATTGGGGCATTGGTTGTTGGCAACAATAAAGGGTCTGCAAAATTATTATAAAATGGAGTATTTTTCATTTTGTAATACGTTTGTATTTATTGCATTTTTATCACAAATTCCTTTTAAATGTAGTCTCAATTATCACCATCAATAAATTAGTTTTTGTTTCTTTTCTATTTTTTGTTTGTGTCTCAAAGGAGAAATCCATATGATAATTATTTGTCTTGGGGAGTGAGGGTCTGACCGAGCGGGATTCAAGTGTATTTCATGACTAGAGAGACACAGATTTACACGGTAAACGGTTATCGAGCCATCCCTGAGAGGTCAAGGTCACACAGGTCACAAGAAAAATAATGATCAATTCTGCTGTAATGTCTTGATAGCGTTCTTGATTAAAACTCAAAATGAGCCGTGTGCCGTTCACACTAACAATGAATTGGCAACGTAGTGAAGCTGCTTCCAGTCACACCGGGTGACGCTGTGCAGGGCAGCTCCTCCCATCAGCGCATGCATGGGTGTGAATGGGTGAATGATGACATGTGGGGTTAAAGAGTTGTACATTTACCACTTTCCTAAATGTTCACTTTCATCGTTGCTCAATTTCAAAGAGATACATTTGCTTGTAATACTCCAATAAACCCAAAAGACAGTTGTGCATCCAGCAATACTGCTACTAAGCCTACTGAAGGGAGAGGCCGCATCCGTTTCTAAACCTTAGAGCAGCCGACAGATCAGGTCCAGTCTGCATCCAGAACGTGGTCAAACCTTACGGCGCTGCCCGCTCACTCCGCTCTGCATCGATCTGTTGCTGCTGCCTCACAGGGAGCTAAACGCTCCACAACATCCCGACTGTCGGCTCCTAAACGGTGCAATGAGCTCCCCAATGCCATCAGGACAGCAGAAAGCCTGCACAGCTGTGCCTGCACCAGTTAGCACTTTGTTAGCACGTGCGATGGTTTATTATCGCACCGTGTAGTTTTGCTTGAGGAAATTGTACTTTCTAGATTTTTGTTGTTCTGGCTCTGTAACCTCTTGTGTGGATGCACTCATTGTGGATCAAACATCAGCTAAATGATGATGGAGGAAGGAAGACACAGAGTCGGAACGCATTCGGAATGGTTAGTGGTACAGCGGCATCTTTGGTTTACAACGACTGTATTAGGGCTGTCAACGAATATATATTCGAATAGTTAAATACAACTATTCAAATGTGACAATGAATATTCAAATGTAAAGAAACTGGACTGTAGTGACTGTATATTGCATGAAGGAGACGGTGCTTTCAGGGTCCGATCGATGCTGCGAGGTGCGTCCGCTCCCGCCGCCCCCCTCGCCATCCACGCCTTAAATCTTCTGTTATCTCGGCAGCGAGGAGAGAATGTGCGACCGATGCTCCCCGTCCGTCTCCGCTTCGGCTCGAGCTCGGCCCGCCTCACCTTGGCGGGGGCCGTCGGGCCGCGACAAGGCCGCACGGTGCAGATTCTCGTCTCCTGCGGCTGCTCTCCAGCCGCGCCGGCTACCAAGGGCTTCTTCTAGAATAACTTATGTTCCCCGTTAAGATGGTTCAGCTACTGTAGAGAAAAGGGCGCTGTCTCTCGCTCGGCGAGAACGACAGCTTCGTTTCTCCGACGTGCCCTGAAACAAGCTCCATATCTCACGCACTTGAGCGCCGCTCAGCATCTCGCCGTCGTAGACGAGCTTTGGCATGTTTGGCAGAGCGCCTTGAGCGCCGTGTACAACCAGTATGGATCAACCGATTAACCAATTGATCCATATATATAAGGTGCTCCGGATTATAAGGCACTGTCGTTTTGAGAATATTAAAGCATTTTAAGTGCGCCTTGGAGTGCGGAAAATGCGGTATATTGACTTTAATACTACAAGAGGGCGCCCGGTTTGTTGAACAACGACAGGCGGACAAGAGCAGCCGTTTCGAGCGAGAGCCTTAGTGTTTTATTAATCTGTCGGTTTAAATTGTTTGTGCTTCATCAATTAATGTTTCACATAACTAATGTGCCGCATCATACATTTTTTTATGTTAATTTCTAACTTTTCAAAATTGAAAATTAAAAACATTTTATTTATTTATTGTAAATGACCTCTCGCGGCCCAGCTGCAGTACCTTCGCGGCCCACCAGGGGGCCCACACTGTGTGTAATTCAGTCTGTGGTGGCTTCGCAGTAAACAAGAGGCAGCCGGCTGGACTGAACTTGGGTTCTGACAGTGAAGAGGGAGTTGTGTATAAAGGACGTGGTGTATTGAGGTCTGTGAATAAGAACCTGCTGGTAGTACTGTAATGTTCCAAACCCAGTATGTCTACAATACTTTACAGCATTGCTTCCAATGTAAGTATTAACAGCACATTAATGGGGCAGTTGAAGAAGTGCAGTTAAGAAAGAATTGCCAGTAGAAGTAGAAGTTTCAGCCACGTGGTGCTGCTACATGAAACTAAACGGTTACTTTCAGGGCAAGAAGCTGTTCAAGTGAAGCTCAGAGGTTTTCACAGGTTTCACAGACTGACGGGCTTCCGGTTGTGTTGTAACCCAACTAATGAACTTACCCACACAGTCCTTGCCGTCCTGGGACTCCTGGTAGCCCTGCTCACAGAGACATTGGAAGGAACCCAGTCTGTTCACACAGAATCCGCCAGGGCCACACAGTGTCTCATTGAGGCCGCACTCATCGATGTCTGTGAAACAAACAAAAAAGCCAGACGGTGTGTGGTAGAATTATCGTATTGTGAGGTCTAATGAGACACCACGAACAAATAAGATCATGAATTACAGCGAAACATTAGAATCTTGGCTACAAAGCCAACTTACCCGTTTGAAAATGCTCCAAACACTAAAATCAATCAAATCAATATGGAATTTCACTAAAAGCATGCGTACTCTGGGTCATTCCATCGATGGAAAGCTAAAAGCTAACAAAGAAACCGAGACGGCAAGCTGTTTCCTCCCTGTAACCAAGTAACATTTCTCTCAGACAAACCTCTGCTGGTTTAGAGTCTCTTGAAGGCCTGAGCAATTTACATTACATGTTTCTTATTGGCAACACACCTCTTGAAAAGCAAAAAAGAACGTATCCGACTTATTATTCTCATGAGTATCATCTGTGTATGAAAAGCCCGATTTATCAACATTATCATTGTCAAAATAATATTAAAAAGAGTAAAAGTGAGATGTTTGGCTGGTACTGTTATGGTCAGCTGCTGTTTTCTCCCCATCCGGTGTGTTTGTACCGTCCTTTTCCCCGGCGTGTCTGTCTGTGCTGTTTGTCTCCACCTACAAGAGGCGTGGCCTGTCATCCTGAGCCGTCCCCACACAGCTTATCGCCATTATTCACCCCTCCAGTATTTAAACCCGGGCTGTCCGCTTCTCCAGCGCCAGAATGTCGACTTCGTATGCTGGCTCCCCGAGACTTTGAGTATTCATACTGTTCTTGTGTCTAACCCTGATTCCTTTGTTCAGATTCTGCTGTCCCTCCTCTGGCGTCCTCACCCGGCTGTCCCCCTTCCATTGAAATCCCCCGTCATTAAAATCCCTTCTACAGATTATCAGTCCTGTGTGATCTCTGTGTGTTGGGTCAAATCTCCCTCCTAACAGGTGCATGTCCATCATATGTTTATTATAGGGTTACTTTTAGTACACAAACTGCAGAGGCTGATGTCTGTTTCATTCTTGCACGTAATGGCTCACAAATGAAATGTCCGACAAACTGAAATTTTGACCTGATGATGGGAGTGCAAAAAAGTAGTATCACCAAAGGCGCTATGATTCATCCTGTGGAGAGCATGAATATTTATACCCAATTACAGACTCAAAATCTCAAAGAATAACCTCACTGTGGAGATACGTCAGTACATGTCATCATGCACATGTACAATACACGTCTGTTTGTCAGTCCACCAGACACATGTTGTCATAACCAAGCACACGCACAATGCAGTTTCTCTCAATCCGACCTTCGCTGCGCTGCTGCCACAAACACAACAGAAGACCAAATGTGGATGAATCCACTATTGAAAATAGAAATTCAGAAATGAATTGTTTCCTGTTTGCTTGACATTTCTTCAAAAGCTGCAGTGACGATCTCAAGAGTGGCGCGTGGAGCAGAGAGGGTGTCCCGCCAACCGCAGGGTCGGCCGTTCAAAAGCAAGTTTAATAAATGAAACCCCATCACCGGTGTGTGTGTGTGTTTCTCTCCTTTGCAGTGAATCTTACCATCACAGGAGGGTGTGTCGAGGCTGGCAGTGAATCCACTTTCACACACACACAGATATGATCCCTCTGTGTTCAGACACTCTCCGTGAGGCGAACAGAACTCTGGTTCCTCCACACATTCATCAACATCTGGGAGGAGGGAGGCAGAGAGGAGGATGTGTGTGTGTGAGTGTGTGTGTGTGACATCTAAATCTTGTCTGGTGACCAGAGGATATACGCGTGCTTCAGCACTCGCCTCTGCAGCTGGTGCCGTTGATCTGTCGGTACCCCCGGGGGCAGGTGCAGGTGTATGAGCCCATGTTGTTGACACACTCCCCTACAGCCTCACAGGAACCGGGTTCTTCTAAACACTCATCCACATCTGGAATAAACACATACCAGTCATTGAAACAGACATTTAGAGCATTACCAACATAATCAGATTAACTTGGCAGCAGCAAATTACAGAAATGCATTAGAGGTGGAATTTGCTTTTTTATGAAAGCGGATTTCTTTCCTGTAATTTTAATTTAATGAAGGAAGACAATTTTGTTGGAAATGGTTACGAAGCATTGAAATGAGGGATATCTAAAGGAGAGCAGAAAAGCATAGCGGATTTTGTTGTATACAGTAAAACAGTTCTTTATAATTTATTATCATAATAAAAGAACGATGATGATTACAGCACCCGCCGTCTATTACTACTACATTTTATGATAGTAGATATTTTATTTTAGCATAAATTGAATAACTAAATTGTAAAATCAATTGGCTGATATTTGCTCAAGATCATTTCTCAAACATGCAAACACAGCTACATGATGTGTGTATCATTCCTACTAATATTGCCTGGTCCTGACGACGTGTGTACAGCAGTAAGATCATCTCGTACCGTCACAATGGTCTCCTGCTCGGGACACTCTGAAGCCTGGTGCACAGTGACAGATGAAGGAGCCTTCAGTGTTCTGGCAGTGGCCTCTGGTACAGACCCGCTGATCCTGGCACTCGTCTATATCTGAGAGAAACGTAAGCACAATGCAGTTCAGTACAGTTCACCTGCTGAACAGTACACTAGCTGCAGTGAATTAATCAATACGCTCATGTGAATGTGTTGATTAAGTAAATTGCTGCTTCATGGTCGTATCCCTCCGCCAATCAGTCATTTTTAAGTTTACATCCATGTCTGTCCAAAATGTCAAATGTTTTCTCCTATTAGACATTTGTGTGACAGTAATAGTAACAGTGTTGTGTTTGGGCACATGGGACGTTCAGTTCGCAGTGGAAATGAACAGACTCTCAAACTTGGTCTTTAAATCAAATGATCGGTTCGATCCCCGGCTCGTTGGTGTCCATGTGCCGTTGGCAAGGCATTGACCCAAATAGCTCCCAAAGCTGTGACCACGCTGTGTGTGAACGTTACTGTCACTGTAATCTCCCCCACAGAGACTATGAGTGGGTGTGAATGGGAGGATGAAAACACAAAGTGTTAAAAAGATTTGAGTCTTCTGAAAACTAAAAAAAGAGAACTCAGTAATACATACATAATCCATGAAAACTACATTAAAAACGCAGCGAATGTGATGCAAGTCAACAAGTCCAACCCTCTGTATATTTGTCTTTCTCTGGTTAATCGTATTTGGTTATTTTTAAAAGCCGGGTATCCCAAACATTACAGCTGATTAACCTCAAGGTTGAACTAAATGAAATGGTATAATTAAATAAAATATTCAAAGTTAAGTACTTTAACTCTATATAATCATAGCAGCAGTGCAGACAGGCAGATCCTCTGCAGCAGTCGGTGAAACACTCTACATGTGTGATTTGGGGTGGTTTGAATTGAATTGCTGTGCCGGCCACCTGAGGCCTGCTGCTCCACACCTGTCCAGTTCCCCAGAATGCTTCCTGGTGTCACGGTTTGGGTTTATGTCTCGTCCTATTTTGTAGTTTCACCACTTTGACCAGTGGTGCGATGGGCCAGAATTGGACATTTCTTAAATGTAATTAATTTTCTTTGCTTATACAATTTTCACTGTTTTCATTAAAGATGATAGCGAAATCATCATAAAGCTGATCAACATCGTCTCTTTTCCTCGTAGTGTGTAATGAACAACGCAGCCATTGGGACACTATGGGCAAGTCTTAGCTTTTGTCTCTAATTCCCTTCTAGCAGACCGGTTGTATCATTTAAACTGAAGGATTTAACAAGTATTTTTATTTCCCAGGTGATGTGCAAATTAGGGGAAAACGCAAAGTACATTCAATATGAATGAAACATATTCCGTTTTGGAGGGCTGAGAAGGATGAGCATTCATTCTCATTGCATCCCTTTCTGTTGCAAGTGTAGGGTGCCTATTATATACAGCATGTGAATAATATAAATATGTGTGAAGGATGTGAGCGTGAGTTGAGGGTACGTACCGAAACAACTGGTTCCCTCCTCAGTGACGAGGAATCCCAGCCGACATTCACACAGAAAACTGCCCTCTGTGTTCTTGCAGCGACCGCCAAAGCACAAAGACGTGCTGCCCAAACACTCATCTACGTCTGGACGCACAAACCAAAGACAGAGTCAGTCCTGTAAAATACCGGCCTAATATGAATAATCTATGGATACAGGATATGAATGATTGAGTGATTCCTCACCTACACAGGTGGTTTGGGTGTCATCCAGCTGGTATCCCTCATCACAGTGGCAGGTGTAACCCTCAGCTGTGTTGTAACAAATCCCCTGGCCACAAATATAAGGGTTGATCTGGCATTCATCCACCTCTGCGTCAGAAGAAAGAGAATATTATCACAGCAGCAGTGTTAGAAGTAGTAATGGGTCGTATGTACCAGGGGTCCCCAACCTTTTAGCAATCAAGCTGCTCAGCTTGTTAATTAACCAGTTAGAAAGCCAACTTGCTAGGATGGTCATGTGACCTGTCAGCTGTGCTTCACTTGTTAACTAACTTAGAATAGAACTTGTATGTCAGACAAGAATACAGAGAAAACAATGTCTTACCAGCTGACTGGGTGGGAGCAATGTCCTGGCCGGCATTAGATGGGAGGATCTCCACTGGTGTAGGAGGAGAGCTCCTCTCAACAACTTCTGATGAATGGAAAAAAATCACTTTTTTCAATTTGAATTCATAGACATAGATAGAATTTTCCCCTGTTATTTACTCTCCGTAAACATGAGAATGCAGGTATCATTCAATCTGCAGGTTGAGTGAATGAAATGACGACAGCGTAGGTAAAAGTAGAGCTGCACGATATTTGAAAAAACTAAAAACAAACAAAAAATACATTTATTTTTGTAATATATATTGTATTCTAATATTCATTTTGTATCAAGCAGCAAAAAAGTTGTAGCGTTAGCGGACATATTGTACGCCCTATGATTTCATTTTACTGATGTGCCTTTGGAAAGAAGGACAAGGACCATCCTTCACAGGGAGAATGCAGGTAAAGGAGCTGCGTGAATGGCTCACACTGAATATCTAGCCAAATGATTCTCCCTTGCCAATGCATGGGTATATTATATATATATATATATTATATATATATAAAATATATATATGTATATTATATATATATAAAATATACCCATGCATTGGCAAGGGAGAATTGCCATTGTGCAATAAAAGTAATAATCCTGGATGTATCGATGATTATATACATATCAATCTGACTTTATCTAATACTGGGGGAAATCAAGGAACATATTCAGCTTTGCACAAAGCCCCTGACAATAGGCAGCATCACCAGTAAAAAAGCTCTAATGTTCTGAAAACGTGATTGTAGCTTGAAATGATTCAACACTTAAAGAAGATACATAAATAGCATTGAAAATAGCATTGATCTGAAAAAAAGAATGAATAAATACATTGATTAATAACAATTAATCAGTACACAGTACAGGTTGCCTTTTAGGACATCACACTAAACTTGTCAGCAGTGATCTCATTTGTCATTCTGAGCTGTACTTAAAACACTGAGGCACACCATAGAAGCTTTTCTGATGTATGTTTTCGGCCCATTTTTGCTGAAATAATGCTAATGTTAGCTTTCCAATGTTACAGCGGAACGGCAGGTGACCATGTGATGTGTACTTTTAGCTTGACAAGCTGTGTCTGAGATGTCCTAAACTGCCAACCAGAAGGTTCGTAGGGTAGTAAATCAGACACCTGGGAAGGCTGCCTCAATCCTGACAGTGGACACACCGGGCGAAAGCTGAGGCTGGATAGGTTCAACTACTGGTCTGTTACTAACCATAGGACCTACCAGATCCTTCAACGACAAGACAGAGAAGAATACTGAATGGACAAGGGACACAGAATTGGTGGACCGTATAGAGAACGTTCAGTTTATTATTTCAGCTCTGTACACTGCATCTATCATGCAATACAAGCGTTGTGCTTTGAAGCGGATCAGCATTCAGAATGCATCGCAACTGCCTGATATTTAAGCACAGGGTGATAATGGAGAGCTCAGCGAGCAAGCCAGGCAGCAAACAACGACTGCCGCTTCTATATAGACTTCTGTCTGCATACTTTTGTTGACATTGTGCAGGAAATCTTTTTCTGGTAATTACACTAATATAAACACTAGATTTTCACATTGCTCCGTGTAAACCAGCTCAAAGTCATGCAGCAAAATTGCTGTTTGACATGCAAAGGGTATACTGCAATGCCACAGCGGCTGGGGAGTTACTGTGTGCATGCAAACTGCTAGAGACAGTATTTGTTGTTTACAGTGCTCAACCTACCTGATCTGGTGCAGTTGTTGCTACTGAACACAGACAAACAAAAACAAAAACCCTGAAATGTAAGTCTTTTTGTTTAAAAGTGATTATTATTTTCTCGTTACCATTCATACCTGAATTCATTCATAACTGTTGGACTATATTAATTTTAGCAAAGTGTGTTCAATAGCTGGCAACTGTGTGAACTTGATATTTTTCTCACAGTATCACATCATTTGTGTGTGCAGAGGTCCTTAAGCGCAAAACACCTTTTGTCTGCACAGTTTGGTTAAATAATCAATCAATGAGGGCAGTTTACAAGATAATTATTCTGTGATTGTCAGAAAAAGCAAGTCATGTCTGCAATGTGAAACACCATCATTATAAAAATAGCTCATCAAAGTCATCCTCTTACTATTATTATTATTCCTGTCATCCAATAGTTCACAAACCCACTTCCCATGTTGAGATAAGGTCAAAACGCTTGGAGAACATCTCCTCTGTTCATGCCGATATGCGTGCGGCTACCAGGCGACAGTTTGAATACACATGATTTCCTTCTTAATCATTCCTTGCAATTATTTTTTCAACGACCTTCTTCCGCATTACCAAAATGCAATCCTTCACAGGTGTTTGTCTTTAACAGTATGTTCAGTCAATTAAAACCAAGCCAGAAGGACACAGCTGACTAATATTGATCAGTCTCAGTATCTCAAGAATCCAACTGTTGAAATTCGATCATCGATAGAAAAAAAGACTATGTCATGAGTTGATTTTTAGCTGAAATGGGACGGTTCCTTCAAATGATGAACATAAATCAAATGTCTTGAGTCCTTAAGATTCACGATGGCCTGGCAAATGGCAATTTTGTGTTGTACTCTCATGCACTTTTACTGCTCTTGTTGATTTGTTGAGTTCTCAGCTCTCCGTTCCTAGCCGCATTTACCAGGGAAGAACTCTAGAACACCATTTCAAAGTTTTTTCTCAAGAAGTTGTTCTTGCAACAGGTCGGAGTGATGCTCGTCTCTGAGACTATTGCTTCCCAAGGCCTTCCTGAATGATCCCTTGAGCAGCGGTAAAAAGCGGAAGATGCAGCTCTGGATTGTTTAGCACTGAATTCCTTGAATATAGATTACTGCAATTTCAACTAAATTAAGAAACAAAAATCAATTTACGGCTCATCTACAGATAGAGTAACATGCTGTTGGTCTTTTGCAAGCGGGGGAGTGAATATTGTATCGTACCCAGTCAGTCTACATTATTAGCATCTTATAGCTTACAGTATTTATGGTTAAACACTTGCCTCAAAGAATATTTTAGTTTTAGCTTTCTAAATACTCTGACATAAACAAACCAAAAATGTTCTAATGATGAAACCAAAATTCTTGACTGAAGACCAAAGGACACATGTTCTGTAATTTGGTCCCTCAAACACTACAACGGCCTACCTTAAATATCAAGAAAGAATATGTCTAGGACAAAACAGGAGGTAACAGGAGTTTAATATGTGGTGATTTGATCCAGGAATACTGTTGGGACTATCAACATTTGGTTGAAACAAGTAACAAGTAAGAATTAGGCCTACGGTAGCCCACATTGTCACAGCCTGATCGGAATACAGATTACACCAAACAAGTTCTCATTCAACCAGAGACTCTATGCCAGCAACACACCCCTGATGTCACAACAACACTACATTCAATGCCTCGCCATTCCTTCCAACTCCAGTTGGTCTAAGTTGCCTTTAAGTAAAACAAGGTGACAGTCTAAAACTGATGCTATAACTTTGAAACTGCACCAAAGTTATTAGTTGGCATTTGATTGAAGAAGTCTGTATTAAAAACATTTAAGCAACAACGAACACAAAAGAGCTTGTGCTAATTTAGTTTAGCTATGTGTGCCACAAACATCAATTTATGCTAAATACATTGAACATGCACCGGTAATGTTGAATGGTAGGAACTCACCTGGTATAATTCCTTCCGGTTTCCCAAAGGCCTCCACTGGTCTCTCTGGCGTTGGCAGAGGTTGAGGGGGTAGGGGGTCATTGGGGTTCTGGTATTTGATGACTGGTTTATTGACAGGTGGATTTGGTAGAACAGTGTAGCCCATTCCACCCGGACAAATGCCTTTGAAATGATCTATAAAATAATGAAAAAATAGTGCTATTATACAAGTGAAACCAAGAAGTGTAAAACTACTAACCCTACAAAATAACAATTATTTTCAATATTAAACACGTGAATATTGTTGATGTTGATGTGGTTTTGATGGCATCGTCCGTTTGTGACCTCCAAATATCACTGGAGCAGTTAGCAGGCGAGTGTGAAGCGGTCGGGATGAGGATCAGCACCTCTAAATCTGAGGCCCTAGTTCTCGGCAGGAAACCAATTGCCTACTCCGGGTTGGTGGTTGGGGCGGCTGGTAAGGATACCCCTTGGCGCCTCCTTAGGGAGGTTTTCCTGGCACGGCCAGGTCGGAAGAGACCTTGGGGAAGACCCAGGACTAGGTGGAAAAATCCTATCTCCATACTGGCCGGGGAACACCTTTTGGTCCCCCAGTCAAAGCTGGTAGATGTGGCTGAGGAAAGGGAAGTTTGGGACCCCTAACTGTGGAACCTGTGAACTGACTCCAGATAGAGCGGTTGAAGATGAGATGTGTTTGGGTCCCACCATAGCATAAAAACCAAGGCTGAATTTTGGAATGTCTTGCTGCTACAGGACATAAAACCCCCGCCACCAGCCTGCTACAGAGCAGAGGACACACAGAGGGCCCAAAAACAATCTCTCCTAAGCTGCCCAATCTCACGTGGTGACAGCCTGTTTGCATGAATACCATATTGAACCTGTCACGGTGTGGTTCACTTCCTGTCTTATTTTGTAGTTTTCTGCCACTCGTGTCCCCGGGAAACTTCACTTCCTGCCTTGTCTTGTCATCCCCTGTGATTGTCGGATTGTTTCCACCTGTGTCCAATCACCTGCACCTTCCTAGTGTATTGAAGCAGTGTGTGTTGTTTGTCACTTGTGGCGTCATTGTCTATTGTCACGGATGGTCCCTGTCTTTTGTCCTGGATGTTCCTCGGTCCTGCCAGCCTTTTCCCCCCGGTTCCTGTGTGTGTGTATTTTTGCCCGTTGGCCTTTTGCGTTGTTGCCTTTTTGACTATTAAAGTCGTTTTTTGTTAAAGGTCTGCGTTTGAGTCCTGCCTTCCTACCCAATCCTGACAGAACCTGCTCAACTCTCCCAACAAATGTCACACCTGGGTCGCAAACTAGGCGCTGCAGATTTGATTTTCATACAGGAATGAGACTCAATGTTCACACCACCAAAAGCCAGACTCTCAAAAACTACCGCTGCTTGAATCAGAAGTTTTTCATTCTGGCATTCAACATCCAACCTCCAGGGGTCAGAAACTGGCCCGCTGGGTCGTACCCACTGACCCAGCGGGCCAGTGAGGCAGATTAATAGTTAGGTAATCCATGACACAACCACCATACTAAACTAGCTAAACCTTACCTGTGCTTTTGTTTCTGTTTTCTTTTCCTCTTTGTCCCTCTTTTATTGAATTTTAATTTTTTGTAATCAGTAACTATACTATGATCCAGACGTTACCACCATATTATTAGTAGTAGTTACAGTGGCTTGCTAGGATTTAAAATGTGTGTATAAATGTCAGTAGTTTAGTTAAAGTCATCTGCCCAGATGCTGCCTTACGGTATGCCCAGACACTGCAGCCTCTGTGAATAATGAACTTTATGAACTCTTGACTGGACCTGTAACGTGGCTGGTTCTCTGGGGTCCCAGGTAGATGAACTACACCACGAGTGTTTAACTTTTTAACGGCTTTATTTATCACGGTTGCAGCAGTGTTTGAGCTCCCGGCATCCAGATCCCTCTTCTTGACTATGTTTTGGAACGCTCGCCACTACTGTTTTAATTAAATACAGGGAGACAAACAATTCATTACATTGACTGCAGCTGAGGCCAATTATGCCTCCACCTAGCACCGTTCCCTGAGCCACCCCCTCTGTAATCAGCCCTTGGCTGAGACGACGCCTCGCTCCTGTTGGGCTCCACCGTAGCGTAAAACCAAGACCCCGTGCAGACGGACTCTAGTTTGCCTGAACCCAGGTTGATGTTTCACACATACCCACTTTTTAAATCGCGTGCACATGAACCCAGTCAATCCGATTGACTCCGCTGAATTGACAACTGAAGAAAACGGAAGGAGAAGACAGGAGCATGCGTATAAGACATGCGCGCCATACACAAACGAAAAGAACTGACGATATTCCCGTAGTACGCATTGTAGACTTGTTAGCACATTCAGCAGGCACATTATCCTTGCGTTCGCCATTGTTGTCGTTGATATGAACTGACGCATTGGGATTAATAAGGGTTCAGCGTGAGGTTGCATGCAATCACGTGATGCAATCACGTCCAGAGACGGGGTTCACCGGGTTCAGACAAACTAGAGTCCGACTGCACGGGGTCCAAGGCTGACTTCCAAATGTTCTGCTGCAGGACATAAAACCCCCGAAAGGCATGTACCATCACACCTAGGTGTGATTTCTCTTTATGGGTGAAACAGCCCTGGGATCTGATTGGCCAAGCCACACTGGCGTGAGTTCCCTCTATCAAACTTTCTTTCCGGCGAAAAAAACGGCGATGAAAAGCAGGAGTGGCGATGCACGGGGCAAAAAAGTCTATGATAAATAAATAAACAAACCTAAGACTTGCACACACAAAGATGTCACTCACTAGGTCGTCTTTAACAAAAAACGTTACTCCACCTGTTGTTCTGGCGGTGAATTGCTTTGCAACACACGCAAGACTTTTTGAACCATGAATTGAAACGAGTGCGTCGTCGCGACTGTGCGTAAAGACGCAGAAGCATGCGCCAGCCTTAAGGATGAGACAACAGAGCCTCTTCAACTCCCTTTCCGGACTGACCTCAAATCAATTTTTTTCCGACCAGCGTCAATGAGAGGCTGAAGACAACCTCTTCAAATCAACTTTCCAGATTGGCCACAAGATTAAGGATTCAGGCCCCTACAACCATTTTGTAGCTGCTCCAGAGAAGTCCAGCTCCCCCAGTCCCCACTTCTGGCCCAAGCAGCTCACCAAGAAGGAAAACTTCTTCTACCCCCTTGGAGACAACTTGCGTGCCACCAAGAAACCCAACAGTCCTCATCCTCCTCAATCGATCCCTGCAACAACGGACTGATTAGACACAAAACCCGAGGCAGCTAACATCTGCTTTGCTTTGAGTCTTCTTTCTTTTGTGTCCTCATTTGCTTATAAAAGCACCCGTCCCTCCACACAGAGACCTACAAACGGGGTTTCACTATGCAAGGAACACAAGTGGTAAAGAAACACGGCCTCCGAGCAATACCTCGCTCGTAGCCACACGTTACATGCCATGTGGACGTTAGCTTAGCTCCCAGCTAGCGCCCTGCTTATCACACACACAGCACATTTTTGCGTTGCATCATTGGCAGAGGGGGCGTGGCTTATCTCAATGGAAGCCGTTGTTAACTCAGCCGGGTTTTTTCTGCCATCAACCTTTGAAGAAATGTCCACTATTTGTGCTTTGTCTTGTGTCATCGAGGTGTATTCACTGTATCTAGCAAAACACAAGCTAGCTGTTTTATTACAGCTGTATGTAAATCAAGAGATTTTGCTGTGATTTAATTTAAAATAATAAAAGGGTTATTGAAGGAAAAATCAATCTATTAGATATAAGAATATGTAACTGTTTAGTTTATCAGGAAACGTCAGTGTTTAATTAGTGTAGTGTAGTTTAATTAAGTTTGGATTTGGTTCGTTATTTGTCATTATGACGGGATAACTGTCGGACTGGCCTTACCTGTTCCTGGAGGGGGGCATTTGTCACAACGAGGGCCCCAGGCTTTACCCACACTGCAGCAGCACAGCTGTTTGCTCAGCATGGTAGATACTGGGTGCAAACATTGCCTCCCTGAGCTGACCAAACGGAAGCAAGCCCCTTTCTCCTCTTGGATGGCAGTGTTGGCTAAAGCAGAGTTTAGAAGAGGGCAGTAGTGCACCAGAGTGTAGAAGAAAACATAGATGGGGGGAAAAGAGGACGAAGAGTGGAGAAATAAAGACGGTCCCCTTCACCAAAGCAACCTTTCCTTCAAGAAACCTAAACCAACACCAATGCGTAGAGAAAAATACATGTTAACATACAGAAGTTGGAAATCCACAAGTTGTGGTGGCACAAAGAAAAAAATGAGTACTTATAATGGCTCTTATCTATGGCAAGTTGTAAATCGGCTTATTTCATGAAATTGCACTTTCTTGTTTCTGGGTTTGTATCCTTATGGTTAAAATGCACTTATGGTAAGTCGCTATGGATAAAAGCGTCAGCTAAATGACATGTAATGTTTGAACAATTGAAGTCAATACTAAACACAGAAAACACACCCAAAGCACAGTCATGTTGTAGGAAAATATCCCTTTCATGCCAATGCTTCATGCACTATGAAAGTCAATAGCTGGGATTGAGGGCATGCAGGAGAGTTTGGCTCAGTTTGGGTTTTCGGGCTGTTTGGTGGGAGTCGTCAGAGTGCTTCACTATGTGTCTCTACAGTGAGCACCGCTGTAATATCTGATTGAATTGTCCGACATCCCATCTCAAACGTGTTTTTGGGGAATCACACACAACTGATTCTTCTCAGTAACGAGGCAGCTCTCTGCACCAGCTCTGTACAGGCTTGCCCCCCAAAAATATTAAAAAATAAAAAAATACGTTTTTGATAATGAGGGGCTCCTATGCCAAGAATAAAGCGTCGTCAGCTTTGGTGTTTGTTTTTGCCAGAGAATGTGAAATATTGGAAAACCATTTAGAGAATCTGCGAGTTCCGAAAATCCGTTCTGTGGCTCTGCAGAAACCACCAGACATGTTTAACGAATTTGAATGCTTACATGTGCCAATTACCAATACCAACACAATAGAGACGGTGGATCTATTGCAAACCTTAATCAAAGTATTGGACCAACTCACAGACCAACCAAAAAAAAAACGTGGCGCAGTCAGGGTAGAGAGGGTGTGCTGGGAACCACAAGGTTGGTGGTTCGAGTCCCAGCTGCCCCATGTCCCATGTCGAAGTGTCACCTAACCCCTAATTGCTCCCCGGGCAAAATGTAAGAGCCATGGGTTAAAAATGTAATGTAAGTCGCTTTGGATAAAAGCGTCAGCTAAATGACCTGTAATGTAATGAAGTGAGTGCCCCTGTCGAGCCACAAGGCTACATTGTCAGTCATCTTCTATACTGCTTATCCACGTTCATAAAATATTGATTTACAGCTTGGTGTATCAGGTCTAAATACAGTCATGTCAAGGCAGAGTCCTAGGGAAACATAAACACATATTTAAAGAAATTCCAAAAGATGATTATGGATAAATAAGAAGTCTGAAATCACCAAGACTCTTAACATAAGACCTTCTGGCTAAAATGGCCAAGATCAGACTGCTAATAAATCAATGAACTCCATTGAAGGCTTTGTCTGCAGAAGTGGTTCCGTCAGAAGGAAAACTGCCCCCAGCACTCTGCCAGTCTGGCCTTCATAGCAGTGAGTAGATTGAGCCACTGCTGAATAAAAAGCAGATGACATACTGCATTTGAACTAAAAACAAAAGGAACATGTCTCTGTAGTTTGATGAGAGAAAAAGTCAGTTATTTAGTCTCTGTGCTGTAAACAGCACGGTGCTTGCAGCATCCTGTCATGTGCTTTTAATCACAAAGAAGTCCCATTCTAGTCAAGATTTAGTTTAACTCCAAACAAAGAAAAGATGGACTCAAATGGATGCAGTGCTTTAAATGTGTCCTGGTGATTTGAAATTAGTTTTCAATATGAACTTGTTTGTGTAAGGCTAATTTGTGAACATACATATTAAGAGTTAAAGATAAAAGTAAAACTAAAGAGATTCAGTTAGAAGCCTTTCAAACGGGTGTAGTGCTTAGATGGGATACCTGAACGTAGCACAGCAAAGTTCATCCATGTGTCCAGGAAAAAACAGCCGAGACAATAGCTGATACGGCTCGTTAGGCTAGCTCATTTATATTGATAAAAAATGGATGGATGCCTTAATTTGGAACTTGCAGCGTCTCAAATTTCAGTGGCAAAATACATATGACTAATCACAATTATTTGAGCTGACCTTTGCATTCTTTTGCTGGCCCCTTTTGCATGATGGCATTGCTAATATTTGAGAATCAATATTAATATTTGAGAATCAATAAATCGATTTGAATCGATAAATCAACTAAGTGAATGTTAGACAAATTCTCACAAATAGCATGCAAATTAAGTGCATTTATATCTGCTGGTTGAGGCACCAGGTTTCAATGTCAGGAAGACAGGAAGATGTCATATGCGGCTTGAAATCTAAGTTCAGTTATCCAGAATATCAAAGCCTGCAAAATACCGTTGAATGTGAATTCAAAGTGATGGAAATGTATGCTCTGTTTAGCATCCACATTAGGGAACAAGTACCAGAGGTGTATGCAATATCTTTTTCCCCACAATGACCACTATTTGACGATTGAGAAAGTATGATTTTAAACTTCTAATATAAATATGGCTTTAAGTCAACAGCCACAGACATTACAATTTTATCACTATGAATAGCCACTTGCCCCAGACACACAAACAAATGTAAGCACGGAAAAGACATGCTCACAGCATGTCAATCAAGGATAACTGATTCTACAAGTATTAATTCTTTGTGTTCACCTGATGTTCTACTTTATCTCTTCCTCTCCTCTCATCATATAAGAGGCGTGCGTGACACATACTGGGTTTAGCGTCATGATCTGCTTTGCAGTAAACAAGCTTGAAGGGGAATCCGATAAACACCATGCTTTCATCCAAGCAATATTTCTAAATGCATCGGACAAATATTTCACTTCAAGCAGCATTCCTATCAGTACTGTGCATCTTTCATTAGTCCAGGGTGAATATCACACTCATGGGGAAGCTTTTGCATGAGTAAAGCAGAGACATCGGTATGCAAATATAATAGCTTCATTTCTGTTCATTCAGGATTTTTGCTCTGTCTAAAACTAAACAGTTGGAGGCTCTAAGTTTGGATGTCAATCAGTGAAAAAATGATGACAGAAAGGAATCTTGTATTGTAGGACTTACTTATGCAAGTGGTGAGAGTGGGGTCAGGGACATAGCCTGGTTTACACATGCACCTGTAGCTGCCCACAGTGTTCAGGCAGTTTCCATTAGGACACACGCCCTGCAGCTGGCACTCATCGAAATCTGTAAATCAACAAATACAAAACACAGTCACTCTAGGGATTTTTTCAAAGGATTTCCTAACATTGCAAGATGGGGGAGAGACATGTTCACTACTTTCAATAAAGCAAAGAAACTTGGCACATTGTCTCTCACTATCGCCTTCCTTCGCCCAATTTCACCTGCAGCAGCTCCAGCATCAGGTTGTATTTATTTATTGAAGATATGCATTACCCTATCAAACAAAAACAGGATATCAGATAAGAACGTATGTATAACTTTTCTATTTGCATTATCATTAAGTATTATGATTTTTTCTCAGATGGATAGTGCTTATTTGTGTGGTGCGTCTGTGCTTTGCCGTCCTGTGTTCTGAAACGCAGTGGACAGACAATCTCAACAAAGCCAGGTCTTTTATTGTATGTTGGCATGGGCTACATGGCCACATCCTAGGCCTACATATGAGAACATAAGTTCTTATGATTTATCACTTTACTTCATTTTTGGTGATTATTGCAGATCTTTAGTAAAGGTGACAGCTTACAGACGCTCTTCTACTCCACCCTTTTAAAAGCATAGGCTAAACTGGTCTTAAGCCTGATGTCAACCGAAAACCAGTACTAGTCTAACACACTGTAAGGCATGATACAGACGTATTAGGTGTGTAGTGAATACGGTGACTTTAATTCTAGACAAAGAATCTCTGGTTCAGATAACAGATCTGCTTTCGATCAGAGACTGAGAGAGGACACTGAATGCACACTGGCTAATTTGGTATTTGGTTTAATGCTGATTCTGTCACACCTATAAGTCAAGTTGGGCTTCTGTCCCGTCTCGATTGTTGTTTTGTGACTTCCTGTTTTATTTTGATAATTAACCCTCCTCTCGTTTCAGGTTCCTGGCCCCTCCTCATGTGTCACCAGTCTGACTGTGTTCCCTGATTCCTGATCGTGTTCCCACACCTCCCTCATGTGTACTGCCAGTGTGTCATGTCCTTTTGCAGTGCACACCCGCCCCAGGAAGCATTCAAGCCCAGGTCACAGTTTATGCTCTTGTTGAGCCACCTTGAGATCTCCATAGATGGTCGTGTACCTTTTATAGTTCCACAGCTCCTCACGTTTGTTTAGTGCCTTCAATAGATTGACTTTTTTGTTTCCTCGGTAAGCGAGAGTTTGGCTTTTTCTTTGGTTTCCTAATCCGCTCGCTCAGTTTTGCTGGAGCATTTTCCATTCATCTCTCTTCAGAGAAGTTTTACGTTTACAGGGTCGTCCCTGCGTTTTTTGTTGGACATTAAAAACTTCTACTGAACCTTAACTATGCGTCCGAATCCTCACCTAGAGTTCCGCGTGACAGATTCAGAGGTAAAACAGATTCAGAGGTAAAATGGTCCAAGTATTTATTCTACAGCTATTAAAGTTTCTTCTGTACAGTTTATTAATAAAACGTATTTATTCTCACAATCAATCTTAACATTCAGCCTGTCTTTTGTTTTTCTACCTTTAACGTCTTTTAAAGTACAATCCATTTTTTCTTGAAGCCTTTTCAGGCTGTTTCAGAGCTCTAAAGATTTACTACGGCTTCTGACCATAGAAAGTAATAGTGTCCAGGGTCCCAGGTCCTTATTCTGAATTTTCACAGTTTCAAAGTTTGCTCCTTAGAACGGACATGGTAATTGTAGTGGGTGATCAATAATGACAGCCTTGGCACTTCGTTTCTCTCATTGTTAAATTCAATTGGTTTCTGTCAGAGTACAAAACCCAACTTGGTGCTCTAACCACGCCCTCGAATTGATTCTTGTGCATGGTATTGGGATAGAACATTTAACAACCTTTCCACAGAACCCTCTCTTGAAGGACCATTGTCTGATAACCTTTGAATTCCTACTTGACCAGAATCTACTCCTCTTGCCGAAGGTTTCTACAGTTGATGCTTATATGATAATGCTGTAGCCTCATTTAAAGAAGCCATTCCTTCTGCTCTAAGTTCAGTGTCCTGTCTCAAGATACAAGAAGACACCTGTGAAAACTTCAGTCCGTCCCAGATCGATCATCTTGTCGATGCTGCTACAGGCTCTTTGAGAGTGGCGCTGGACGCTATTGCTCCTCTGGAACGAAGAATGGTTGGTTGGTATAACCCTGAAACCTTCAAACTGTGCGGTTATGGCGTTCCACCAAACTAGAAGAATCTAAGCTAGTTTGGCAAGACAGCCTTAAAACATAAAACAAGGCTCTCTGTAACGCACGAGCATCTTATTACTCATCATTAATAGAGAAAAATAAAAACAACCCCAGGTTTCTCTTCAGCACTGTAGCCCGACTGAAAGAGAGTCACAGCTCTGTCGAGCCGTGTATTCCTTTGGACCTCACTAGTAACGGCTTCATGAACTTCTTCAATGATAAGATTCTGACTATCAAAGAGAAAATTGATGGTCTCCTGCCTTCAACCAGTGCCGACCCGTCCTCGGATGTAGGAACCTTGGATGCAGCAGTGGGCCCCGATGCCTGCTTGGATGCCTTCTCTTCCATCAACCTTGATCAACTGACCTCTACAATTTCGAAGTCTAAATCTTCTACTTGGATCTCTCTTGGATTCGATTCTGACTTAGCTGGTTAACTTGAAGTCCTTAAAGTTAGCTGTAATTAATTATAATTAAACATCTTAAAAAAACTACTCTTGCGAAATCCGTCGCAAATCAATTATGTCACTTTCTACGAAACAATGCTTGCTCAAACGCCGATGTGAGGGCTTCAGGACAGAGGGTGTCGTATGTGTACAGACTGTGAAGCTCTCTGAGGCAAAGTTGTAATTTGGGATTTTGGGCTATACAAAACAACATGAATTGAATTCAAGATAATCACATTTTGTTTTGTCTTTAAGAAACTTGGCTGTGTCATGAAGAATACCTCATCCTAAATAAATAAACTCCCCAAATTATTTTTGGGTGGAGTAGCAGCCATCTTTGACTCATGTAAAGTCCTATATACAAACTTTATCATAACTCATTTCAAAGAGTAGTTCTTAGTTTTTCACACCCAACCTGGAAAACACTATATACATTTTTTATTGCGTATCCCAGGTCCTTATTCTAAAAATCTTAATTATAAGAATTTTGAAAATCAACTTTACTCTCTAAAATAATTATTAATTCAAACTTAATATGTTTAGACAGCTTTTCTCCTATCGACCTTCATAAATCCCAGCCATCTCCTTCTCTTAGACCCCATTTCGACTTGGCTGCTTAAAGATGTTCTACCCAATAGTTATAACACCGTATTGCCCTACTAGAGAGCTACTACTTTGCAAAGAGCTTTAAATAGCGTTGCATGGTTTCTGACAACGATGAAAGCAACAAAAGAGGAAGTGAAGCATTCGAAAAGGCCTCCTCCACTAGTTTCTTACCTTGGCAATGAGTGCTGTTGATTCTCCGGTAACCCTGAGGACAATCTATCAGAGGAATAGCTGGTGAGGGAAGAAGAAAGTGGGAGGAGAAAACGTTCAGTCATGTATTCAGACATTTGATAAATGTTTAAACAGTAATATGCAAATACATTAGAAAATGTTTTCTGGTTTGGTATAGTTGTCTCACCCTAATTCTAGAGTGTAACACATTTATTTTGCAGAGTAACAGGTTCATTCGTCACAGTCTGATTCACAAGTTTTATATGGTTTGCCTGCAAGTAGGAAGGTTCTATATATCCAAATGACCTCATAAATGTTGGCTTGTGTTTGTTGCATAGTTTATTACCCAGTAAAATGTAACATCTTTCTGTAAGCCTAGGCTTCCTTTACACTACAATCGTCAGGGCTCGACTCGGGTCAGAGGGTTTTGTTTGCATTGTGCAAGGCTTTCAACTCCTTACATTACATTACAGTTCATTTAGCTGACGCTTTGATCCAAAGCGACTTACATTACATTTTTAACCCATAGCTTTTCTACATTTTGCCCGGGGAGCAATTAGGGGTTAGGTGTCTTGCTCAGGGACACTTCGACTTGAGACATGGGGCATGACCCGCATGTGCACAAGATAGTGATAACAAGGATGAGGAGAAGGAGATACACGTTTCACTATTGACTTTCGTGGTATGGATGAAGAGTTAGAGCCAGGAGTTAGGGTTTGTGATGGGTATAGCTTCACAAGTGTGGATGTGATGGAAAAGGATGCAATAACTTAAATAATATTGATCAGACTGAGCTTGAACAGCAAAGAAACATCCCTGTATTTGACCCACATTTGACTGTGGGACAAATCAGAAGTATAATCGTTATATTCTGTCAATTTTTCTGCCTATACTGTTATGAAAAACAAATAACCAAGATAAACCTGCAACATCGGATGTATTTGGCCGCAGCAGAAACAAGTTGTCAACACAACATTGACAAAGCATCACTCTGCAGGTTGATTTGACTGAAGCGCCCTGCCCTTTAGCTATGTTTGTGGTCTCCACCAATACCTCAAGGAAATATCTCACTCTAGAGGCTAAATGCTCCATAACGTACAGCTTGTCGCTGACCATGTCAGTCTGCTGTCTAGCCAGTAGTGTACCGCGTGTAGAGAAACGACGCAATGACAGCGGTGAGGCGAACCCCGAAACATGTGGGCTGATATACGATGAGCAGAAGGAAGACAACAATTAGAAGTTTCCATCATCCATCAACAGCATGAATAGCAATGCAAAATCAATCAACTAGACAACATCTTAAACGACATCTGGTATTACTTTGCAATGATGGGTCATACTCAATTGACTAAGAAGCAGGTGAGGAAAGGATGAAGACAGTGAAGAAAGACAAGTAATCATTCATGAGACAGAGATAAGAACAACAGAGAGACACAGAAGGCTCCTGCATGCTGCTCAGTCAGCCATTCAGAACCAACCACAGAGCGACAAGTCTTGCAACTCTCGGCTGCAGGCTTGGGATCGGGCGCTGCAGTAATGCGGGACAAAGGCTCCGGTGGGGAGGTGGTACCCAAATACCTGCAAGCAGATTGTAATTTTGCTTTGTGGAAAGAACAAAGCAATGTTTGTTTGAGCAATAAAGCCAATCTATTTACCAGCTACCAGTGTCCCAATGGAACAATGGTCTATTTCACAGAAAAGGTCTGAATTCATGCCCCTGCCATTCCTGAGAAGAACAGAAGAAAGGACACATGGTTTTGAGGCTAAAATGTTCCTTGCATAGTTCCTCAGTGTGTCCTAAGTTTATGTGGGATAAAACTGGCACAAGTGACTGCTGATGAAACTAATTTGTCATATCTTAGATGCATACTAGGACCACAAACCTGAAGTTGCATAGGAACATAATAATACCTCACTGCTGAAGGATCTAGAAGATATTTAGTTTCTATTGTCGTCATTATCCCTAACCTTGAGAGTAAACATGTAAAAATCGATAATAGATGAAGAATATATTCTACGGCTTAGTTGATTAAAACAGTAGTCCCCAACCACGGGGCCCCACAGTGCCCCCCACCGGTTATTTCGCCGTGATTATTCAAGACGGGGTTCGAGAAATATTGTCTAACATGAAACCAGTCCGTGAAGCAAAAAGGTTGGGGACAGTTGATTAAAAGTACACCCTCAGCCATCTTTAATTGTAGTGTTTCCTCTACCATTACGACAGTGGGGCGCCCCCCTGCTCTGAAATTAATCCGCCCAAAAATTCTGGAATAAAAAATAAAATGTTACGATTTTCATTTACCACGAGCCGACACGTGGCGCTCGCACCAGCAGACAGAATGCACGAGCGGACAAACCACCCCCCCAAACTTTGCCCGACCCCGCCACCTCCTCTCCGGAAGGTTTAGTGGGTGCGCTGGGAATCGTATGAGCCCCGGCTGCTCCACGTCCCATGTCCCACGTCGAAGACACCTAACCTCTAATTGCTCCCCAGGCAAAAATGTGAAAACAGCGACCGGTTAAAAATGCAATGTATAAAAGCGTCAGCCAAATGACCTGTAATGTAATAAAGTAATGCAAGTCGTAAACCTGGGGGAAACACTGAACTGTACTTAGGATGAATGATACAGTAAAATATTCTACTAATAACTACTACTAGCTACTTACTAAAGTAATCAATATTTTGAACCAAAAATATATAGAAATTATTTTATTGAGTTTAATGCTTCAGCTAAAAAAAAGTGTGTTCATGCTGTGAATGAAGATCAGAACTGTTACAGTAAGTAAATGATCTGTGTAAAAGCCCCCACCCAATGATGAAAATAACCATTTAAAGGAAATATAATTAGCAATCTATGAATCAAATGTGGACAAAGGACTCGCTCCTTCATGATGCTGTCAAAGAATACAATTCTTTAACAGCAATTTATGGTAATTTTAATTACCATGGGATGTGATAAAAGTGTGATATTTATAGAATTTATGATGTTGAACCTCACTGGCATCTTGAACCTGCTAACTCGATGCAAACCATACACAAACACATGTACTGTTACGGTAAGTAAATGATCTGTGTAAAAGCACAGACACACACACACACAATCACACAAAATGTTTTGAGGCATGAAGAAGTTCCCAAACACCAAAAATGATCACCATGTGAGAAAAAACATTCATACTTACAGGCTTCTTTAGGACACTTCTGGCATTTGTGGAAACCCCAGGAAGTCCCGATGGTCCCACAGCACTGGTCCTGCTTAGTGAGACCTGGCAGAGCCTTCCCACACTGACACGTACAGGTGTGCACAGTGAGAGAAAAAAGGAATGGACAATGTATGTGTTTGTATGTCTGATCACTCGGATGACCATACATGCATTCACAGTCCCTTATATTAATGTCAAATGTGACCTGGTTAATGTGACCTGTGACTCTATTGATGACCTCCACTTAAACTCAGCATTGTGGATCTTCATGAGATAAATACTACATTTTATGTTAACGTTTCCATACTGCTGGGCAGTGAACACCAGCTTTGTACCTAACATACAAATGCATGATTACTGACTATTGGAGTGACTAGTTTTGTGTGAGGAACTTTAATTAAAGTTCTACAATGCCGGATTGTTCTGTCCACATGCCAGTGAGAACACTAACAATCATGTTAAACATTTACAAGGCTCACCACATTAGTTTCATGTGTTAGCATGCTAACATTTACTACTTAGTACTGAACACCAGGTGCACCCGAGGCTGACATAAATGCATTTTGTCATAGACCAAAGTATTGCACCATTTCACAATTGATTCATATATACTAATATCACAATTGTCCCCGTAGAGCTATTACAATCTGCATGCGACCTCCTCAAAAGCAACAGGTAGAGCAGCCGGCTCGGAAAATCCCTGCTGAGTGATTGGAAGCAGGAGGAGTCCAGGAGAAATGACTGTGTACATCCATGAAGAAAAAACAATGAAAAGCTTTCAGAGAAATGCATTTAAGCCAATGTGGCGTCAGCTATGGTATGAATCATGCTGGGGGATTGATTTGATTTAGAAAACTACACATCGCATTCAACTACTTTACATTACAGCCTGGCTCTAGAACCAGCACAAATAATTCACTGTACTCTTGATGAACTCCACGTACAAGCACAATTTGGAAACTATTGTCTCTCTCTTTTTTGCGTATATTTAGATCAGACAAACCCTTTTGATGAGTTCAGCTTTTGGATTGAAGTATTTATACAATCCAACTTACTGGCATATTTGTCAGTAGGTGGCGCTATGACCATCAGTTGATATAAACATGCGTCTTTTTACAGCAGTTATTACAGCGAGTCATGTAAAACGGCCACACAGTGTCTGTGTCTGAGTTCAATTCATCACTACGGTCTCAATGTGTCCAATCTTGTTGAACACATTTTGGTCAAAAGTACTGCATGAACTGCTTTGTCAGAATGTAATCCGACCACGTGGGTGCTCGGCTCGGTGCTCGGGCCCCAGTGAGAAGAACAACCGGTGCTTTGGTGGCCGTGCTGGCTCAGGGCCGCTGCCATACACACATACAGCAGGTAATTCTGTCCAACACACTCCATTCCCTCTCAGCTAAACACGCTTAGCTCTGCCAGCACTTTTGCAATTGTTTTCATTGTTTGCACTGTTAGCGGTGTTAGCGCCATTAGCTGCATTATGAGAGCAATTGAAGGGCAATATGAATGGTTCCAGTCCTGAATATACTGTAGCACTTTTGACGTCCAATACAGACACAATCTGTATGTTCTTAAATCACTAAGAGGCAGTAAACATGAGGGACATATTGAACATTTCTTTGCAAATAAATGAATGAGTGCTTCTATTCCTTTGAGCTGCCCTGATTACAATACATTGGCTTTCAATTATTCGCTTTAGTGCTTTACCTTTACGTAGTCGTAATATTAACAAAATGTGAAGTCTGTGTGTCAAAAGTAGACACTAATGTTAATAATGTGACATGATACATTTTTTAAGATTTATATTGGCAGCCACATCTTATTCTATTATCATGTTTAATAAGACACGGCACACCCCTAATTTAAATACTCCCCCCATTTATTGAGAGGCTCCATTGATTGTTTGACATTACTTGATAATATGTATTTTTATCATTATTATCTAGACGTTGTGGTGCCTCTTTCCTGCCGACACTGCGGTTACAATATAACCACTGATATTGATAATGCTCAATTTATATATTATTTTCTTACAACCACTGATGGTGTTATTAGTAATTATTATTATTATTAATAATTATTAGTTTGTTTTCTAACAGTATTCTGCTTAATAGTCTCAATACATGACTCATTCATGTCACATGGATTGAATGTTCAGTGGCAAATTTGTAACGTGGGCTAAACAAATAAATTGATTTGAAAATGCATTTAATTTGCCACGAGGTTACACAGATTTTTTTTGTTTCTTAAGAGGTTGTTTAGTTTTGTTGAGCCAACATTAAGTAGACAGTGAAATTGTACCTGACTCCCCGCTGTCTCCTGGAAGCAGCGGCCCAGAGTGTTCTTGGAGACGGGCTGGTACTGGGGGACCTGGTAGCCATGCTGGCCGGGGTAAACGATGTTGTAGCCGTGGTGTTGGATCTTCTGGCTGCTCTGCGTGTTGTGATAGGTGTAACTGGTGGATGAAGAGGAGCCGGACTGGGAATCTTTCAGCTGGTGCCCGTTGCTCTGATAGTTATCAAGCTGGGACACCTGGTGGACCTGGACAGAGGCCTCTGGAGGATGTTTGATGTGGATGTTGACAAGGCTGGGACTGAACCCTGGAAACATGAACAATACAATTATTACAGTACAATGTCAGAATAATAAGTATTACTGACCAATTCTTTAACCCAAAGATCAATTTATGCTTTGAGATTAAACAAAGTGTTGCAGAAAGCCTGTCAGAAACTGGAGGGGTTATAGTTGTAAAGTATGTTGTGTGTACAGCGGGGAGTAAATAACACTGAGTTGCACAATCCTGCATTTTGGGATTTAAGCAATGTTGTGAGTACAAATCTTAAAATCATGGTTGATTTTGAGCCTTTGAAATTTGCTGTAATCCAGACGAATGAAAGACAATTCATTTATTTAAACAAACGCACTAAATAACTGTGCATTATTCCTTCTTAGTTTGCTGTAGATGACATTACATTCCTAAATGTTTGTTTTACATGAGTACATTTTATGAACTGCTCCTCCAATAAAAGCTCCAATTCAGCTCTTGCTGCTGTTGATACTCAAATTAAATTAAATGGTGACAACTAACTAAACCATAACCATGCTTTTTGAGTCATGTATTTGTTTTTTTTGCCGTTCTACAGTGAAAATTTGCTCAGGATGCCATTAAACCGTAAAGATGAAAAATGATAAAAATCGTCAGTTTCCGTTGAATGTCCATGACTCGGCGTGGTTCCCGTTTCACGCCCTTTTTTTTGCATGTTACCATGAAAGAAAGAAAGACGTAATTCCAAGGTGCATTATCCAAGATGTCAGTTCAGGCCTGAACAAATGTCCATGCCAAAATAATCAACGTGTGATGGTGGCAAAAGGAAAATACATATTTTACACTTTGATGTCCTCTGCCTAGTCAAATCACTAGATCGAGTTTTTTTCACATTTTTTAAGGAGAGCCATACGACTTTGATGCCTCATCATGAATTTTGATTTTGTGAAACACTGTTGCCGTGGCAACCCATTATTCTTGGTTTTTGCTCTGGCCGGTGTAAATTTCTTGAATAGTGCCCCCCACCATTTTTTAAAAGAGCAGCCCCAGCGCGATGTTTTACCTACACAAAGCACATGAATTGTGTGATGTATCACACCAATGATCATGCTCTGAACTCTACCAAAACATCCATTTGTTGTACATTTTCTCAAATCTTTCCGCCATTTTTAGGCACTATACTTTAACCATGAAGACGCATCCGTTGCTGTGAGGTGCTTTTGAAGCTCTAAAAAGGCTGAAAATGTTTGAACCCCAAATTGTATTTATCTGATATTATTTTAAAACGTCAGAGCTGCAATTTGGCTCATTAGCGCCCCCTACAAAATTTTGTCGAAGCTGCTTTGGACCTGAATGTACCAAACTAGCTAGGAACATGTATAACACGTTAACTTAAGAAAGGAACTTTGTGCTCTAACCAGAAAGTCGGCCATTTTGTACTTAATTTCTTGGTTTTCTTTGGCCATTTTCAGGCGCATTTAACGTTCTCTTCTTGGGAATTTAACAGATCAAGTTCAAAATGAGTTCAATACAATCTTGAGAACGTAGTAAAGAAAAGTTACTAAAAGCTTGCAGTTTCATTGAACGGACGTGGTGTGGCGGATATTTTACATGATTCACATATCAAACGACTTTACTTCGTCAAAACTTCTGACATGCTTGATTGGAGTTGTTTTGAGGACTTCTGCATGTTTATATCAACTGATGGTCATAGCGCCACCTACTGACAACTATTGCATAAAAGATTTGGTTCTTGTTTTTCTGCATGGATATGAACAGTCTGCCATTTCTATACGACTTTTACGTCTGTGAATGATCATTTTCCGTCGCCTGTACAAACAGTCAGTTCTGAGACCTGCATTCACGCCATTTTTTAAACATGTGTTTTTTTCAGGCTTACATGTATGACCATATTTGGAGATATTCTCAAGTCAATCAAGGCTTAAAACCTGACAAAATGACCTTGTTATGTGCTGGTTCATGCAGAAAATACTGTCTAACTCTTACATGCAGTTTATGATACTCACAGAATTGTCTTATCGGATACCCGACATGCGTAAAAATGCCGGGGCCTGACTAATGCTGCTCGCAGCTTTAATGAGATTGTCTTTTGTGACTGTATGGTGCTTTAAAAAACAGTTTATACATGTTTTATACTATAGATAGCTTAATACTCTACATAAGTGCTGGCTTTTCCAAAACTTCTGAGTTATGCTTTTTAAGGTCCTCAGTGCATCCTTTGCAACGTGTGACTTCCAGCAAATAGGCTAAATAACGCATCCTTTCCAGGAAGTTTACTGATAAACAATACAAATTCGGACTCCTCTACTTTTTCTACACACTTTTAGATAACAAAAATGTTATTTTTATTTAATTGTACTGCTAGCATCACAGCCGTGCTTTCCACTCACCGGGGTTCTGGCCGTTGCTGTAGGTCAGAGGCAGTGTTTGTGTGGAATGGACATGAGCTCGGTTGTAGCCAGCTGACGTCTGCTGGTGCCCGTTCTGAACAGACATCTGACAGAACTTTCCAGTGAAGTTGGGAGGGCATTGGCACTTGTCCCTGGTGCTGCACTTCCCACCATTCATACACGGCAGGTGACATACCACTGAGAAGAGAAAAAAGAAGATGACGCTGATGCACTAATGCATCCAACACCGATACAAACAAAAAACACAAAAATACAGACACCTCTACAAGTGCATTTCAATCAGGAAAGACAAGTCAGATAAATAGATTTCTTTTTATTATTAACAGATGATATGTGATGATAAAGTCAGGGTCTTTGGACCTCAGACTCAACAGGGAAATTTGTAATGGAGGGACATCTACCCCGATCAGGAGCTAAATAAACCCCCTCTGGAGTCCTTGCAGTGGAGGCGGCTAATGGGGCTGCTAACACGATGAGTTGATAAACAATGGGGAACGTTCATACTGTATATAACAGCTGCACGAACGTACTGAAGGTAGAGAGACAACCGTCTTTAAAAGAGACAGCAGCAGGACGATAGGCTGGGTGAGCGGAGAGCACAGACTTTGTGGGTAATTCTCTTGAGCAAAGTCAGCATATTGCCAAATTAAGGCCTCATTGATGGCACGAAATGTCTGCCAGAGAACCCTCAAACCCTCAACGATTTAACAGTGGGAAAGAACTAGTTAGCGGGAGAGCGCTTCAAGTCGATGAGTCTGCAAGGGCGGAGATTGGATCGGGCCAGTGCCCCCCCCCCCCCCCCCCCCCCCTCACACGTGAGCTTATTAGTGCAGTCTGACATGTGACTTGGAGCTATTCAGTTTTGCATCTCGCAACCCACGCTCCATCTCTTTACCCTCCCTAACCCTCTCTCCCTTCCCTCCCTCAGATCTCCTAATCTAGCCCCCCCCACCATGAAGTTGAATGTAGTGTAATCTAATCTAATATTACATCTTTTGTGTGTGCATGTAGGTACAGAACAGTCGCTGCAGACAGATCTTCTGCACCTGTCAGATGTTTTCAAAGTCCAGATACTTTTGTCATTTGTTCGGGGGTCAAATTGTTATGCTCAAGATCAAGAGTCAATCCTGAAGCAAAACTGCTACAACAACAATATAAATCCATTCCAGTAAACAAAAAAAAACAATCCCTCCCAATCCGTAATGTTTGAGTGTAGTTTTAACAGGAATTTGTGCATGTGTCAGAGCAGGAGTTCTGCTCATTGTAAGTAGTGATGCAGGTTGAGACAGTTTACCAGGTCTGTGCGATACATTACAGAGCACCCACATCACATGCTCCATCGCATGGAACTTCTTTCTTGATCACCTGAGGCTGCACTATTCCTATATACACTCATTGAAAGCCTTTAAACCTCCTGCAGAGCTCAAGATGAGGGCGGAGTTTATCCGCCTTAACAAAAGTCACCCATGACTGAATTCTAAGTCTTCCTTATATTTAAAACTTTAAAACTGAATATACCGAACACCCCTAAAACAAGTTAGTACAGCACAAATTCTGCAACTAGTTTTTAGACATTGAATGAAGTTGTACAGTAAAAACGCGTTGTCTGCCTGCAGTTTGTGTATGAGAGAAGATAAGGAAACATACAGAGAATATACAGCGTCTTACTAGTAACATAGTGAACTGTGGATCACTCACCTACTCTGAAGTTGGGAGCTGTCAGGGTGTCTGTAGCGTGGCCGTTCTCACTGATGATGGTGGTAGTGTTTCCCAGCTCGCAGTTGTTGTGACATCTGCCTCCTATGCAGGTTAATTTGCAGATGGTTGGTGTGAAGACCACCTTGATCCTTCCTGTATGGTTGCCCACTGCCGAGCACAGCATGGCAGAAATGAAGAGGGGGAGGGAGAGCACACCAACTTTGGTTATTCTTTGATCCGTTGGAAAACGTGAAATTACTTTTAAGTTGAAGCTCGAAACAACCAATCTCCAGTCAAAACATCAACACAAAATGTACTATGTAATTTAACGTGTGATGTGTCTTCCCCCTCTCTCGCTGTTTCTCCCACTGTTCCACTGCACCTAAATCCCGTGGCGCCTCTGAAACGTGAAGGAAAACAATTCTGGGACGGAGAGAAGTCAGCAAACAAAACTCTGGGATGTCTTCCAATACTTCATTATAAGTGTGTGAGAGGTGGGATGTTGGCATACCGAGCTTTATTCCTATATCTGTTGGACCGTGTGCATCGTCTGCTTCCATGCTTTTTGAGAACTCCAAAGATCTTTTGCGTTGAGTTCTTACAAAGATCAGGAAGAAGTACTGGAAGAAGTATCACCCTGTCTCACCCCACCCTGGAGAACCCAACCTTCAGCAAAGTATCTCACACATCTAGTCTTCCTACCTAATGCACACCGATGTTTGGGTGGATTTACATTTTTTCCCCCAATTATTTTAACTTGATTCTTTTTTAATATCGCTCCTCGGTTCAGTGGTTGTTGGTCTCCTGCGTCAGCTCCAAACCCCTGTCTCCAGTGCTGAGATGTGGCTGTCAGCTGCACACGCCAGTGTATACGCATGGAGTAATGCCAAGCAGCCAGAGGAATGTTTCTAAACCTGAGAGGCAGGAAAAAACACTGGATAGGACACCCAGACACATTCATAACACGTGCAAAAGGACTCTTAACAAGGGAGCTAATATGATGTTGTGGTTATAACTAAAGGCCAAAGCAGAGGTGTTTTCAGTATTGCCTCCAGGGCCATAAATGGATTTGGTTGGATCGTTCCCAAAAAGAGGAGAAAGAAAAAGACACGGTAAGTCAACTTCATTTAAGGAATAGTAAATGAGCCGAATGTAAATAAAAAGTTCTAAATGACAGAAGTGGAGCCTGCTTACTCACTTCCAAGGTCAAAAGCACCTACTGTGTTCGGTCATACTTAAGCTGGTTTTCAAACTGTACAGTTATGTCTGTTACTATACTAACTAGACACAGATACTAGACATGCCTTATCTCTGTGTATTCATAGATTCTTGCCTTTATTCACTGGTACTTTACTTTAACTTTTTGCACTTGAATGGGCGGTTATGGGCAAAAGGCTACATTAGCTACTATTCAAAAGAGTCAACATCTACTAATACAAACAGTTAAAACTAAATAAAAACACAGTGAAAACCTTGCCTTCCTGAATGAAAGGGTCGGGTCTATCTGAGCGCCGCTGCTGAGCAGCAACCGAGTCGCCCGTGCTGCGGAGCTCGGTTCTGGGACCCGCGGGAGCGAGACCTTTGTCAATCTGAGGGTGGTGGAGGTTTGGAAAGTAATGACTTCTTGTAGTAGGAATGTTTTGTGAAGCGAAAAGAATAACAGTAGTCCAGTCTTGATGAGATGGTTAGAAGGGGAGGTTCTGGGTTAATAAAAGGAATTGGACAGAACTGTTAGCGATGCATTTCATTGGGAGCAAAGGGGGATAAATGCAGATTAGATATGATATAGATATTTTGAATATCCATTATGAGAATGCTATAGGAGTGCCCTGTTTAATAATTGGAGTACCTAATCAACACAACAATAGGAGGCCAATGCCCGAAAAACAACTTTATTTAGAGACCACAACATTTCAGCTTCAGAGCTACATCAAGGTCAACGGCATACAAGAGATTAACCATTTTATCTGGACAACCTGTTTTTTTTACTCAAAGATGTATTTCCATGATTCATTAATAAAACCATTTTATACTACAACTACTGGAGAATTCTGTGATTGCACATCGTCGTGGCTCTCAGCCGTATTTGGTTATTGCGGTGCTGGCACGCTTATCCTCTGTACCTAAACCTTCAGTCAGCGCCAAGACTATTAACATGTGTCTGAGGGTGTTTTGGCAGTGTGGGAAAGCTAACAAATACTTGAGGGGAGACAGGGGATTACTTTCCCAGATGTGGCACCAAAGGCCGTTGCTGACAGGCTGTCTGTTGCGTGAGACACGCTGAAAGAAAGGCTGAAAGCTTCCTGTTTTAGAAAAGCAAACGCGTCTGCTACCTTAGTGTAGTGGAGACTGCATGCTGGGCAACGGTTGTCATATTTCCATTGACATACAACATAGAGGCCTTAAGTGCAATTTGAATATATGCACATTTGCTGTGAGTGGGGAGGCCCAAATTGATATTGAGTATCAAGTACACGATAGTTCTGTGTGAAGAGGGTTCTGGCTCGGTGGTGCCCCATACGGGGGACGCTTGTCAACAAGATCACCACGTCGTCCCGCATAGCTGTGTCCTGCACAACCACTTAAACTGCAGTCTACAGATCATTTTAAATGATATATTAATAGATTCATAGATGCACACTGGCCACTTTGATGTCAGCCTGGAGTTTATGACAAACCACTAAAGCCAAGCACGAGCTGTTTAATATGTAAGAGTTTGAACACGAGCCACACTGATACAAAATACTTAATTTTTTTCTCTAAGTGATTTGCGCAGCTCAGAATTGCATTCATACAATGAACTTAGGTTCTTACACGCTGACGGTGTGGGGTAGGAGCTGTTTATAAATGTAAGGTGTGGAAGACCATGCTTGGGATACAAGCAAGGCCATTTCATATGACTCGCTGTCACACGTTTTGTCAATCTATACAGGTTTACATTTAATTATTTTTTGGCTTAAGACCTGGCAAAATGACCTTGTTAAGAGCTGGTCCATGCAGCAAATACTGAAGCTCTGGCATATGGTTTATGATAGTACCAGAAATGCATGGCCACGCCAACCAGAGTCCTATCAGAATCATCAACAATCATGAATTTGCAAGAGCCTGATCAATGCTGCTTGCAGCTTTATTAGGGCCCAAGCAGCCGACGTCAGTCCTGCAAGATCTATTGAAATGTTTCCTCTTTGGGCGCGTTTTGGGGGTATTTGCCCTGCCCACCTACCTTTTAAACACTTATCCGGAGTGGGTTGTGGTATAGGTCTCATAATTGTGTCTTCCAAAAGTGCCTTCCAGTGCCCCTCGAAGTTGGACCTGTAAGCCCCTCGCCCAGTATGTCAGATTTACCTGATATTCAACACACATGTCTGGCTCTACTAGTTCTACAAAGAACCTCTAAGATCATGACAAGCTTTTGGATATCTCATTGTGCTTAGAAGATCTTTCTTTGATACCCGAAGCACTATCACCAAAGCACTATCACCAAATGTGTTGTAAAATTTGGTGCGTTTTGTATTTACCGGCTGTGTTTAAAGTGCCAACAATCTCCCCACATTTTGCCAGGACGTTTTCAAACCACAGTCTTGGGACACAGTGGGGGTCCTCTGCAGACTGTGTCCTGCGCAGGGTGACGTTAGATGTAGAGATGGAGGTAGCCTAGCAGCTAGCCCTTCTGTTTGACACGTGGAGTAGTTCCTCTGCACAGGTCTCTGCTGTGTGTCGCGCCTCTGTTTTACTTCCAATGTGAAAAGTTCTTTCCATCTTAATTTAAACCGGAAGTAAACAAACGTAGGTTAACTACGTTAAATATTTTGTTGCATTAGTCTTGGCCACATTAACCGCATAGATTAACGTGTTTATGTTGACATTAATTAATAATGTTTCACTCAGACCAGGCGGGGAGGGGGCGCTGCGATGCGATTGGTTGAAAATGAGGGTTCATCTGATTGGCTACACATATGTCCATGTTGAAAAAAACGCATTTCTGAATCCAGCAACGCCATTCAAAATCAAATATCTATAAATTCATAGACAAATACATACAAATGCATAAATATATATGGAATTTAAATAATATATAATAATAATTGAATCGTTCTGCGTGAATTTGTAAATCAAATATAAGTGTAAATTGTTCTGTGCGCATCTGTGAGTCTTTATTAAAACCAATCTGACCCCATAGATAACATTTAGATTGTTTATTGTAACCAGCTACCTACATTGTAGGAACACTCACACTCACAGGAGAAAACACAGCGTGTGGGTGTAGTTAACACAGGGACACGAGAGGCAGGAAACTACAAATTAAAGCAGGAAATGAACCCACGCCGTGAAACACTGGATTGAGTCCAATCTGTGCCAAACGTTCCATGCTGGATAACAATCACGGCCTGAGGATACGAACAAGCTATTTTTACTCACAGTCATAGCTTCACCTACGTAGTTCTATTAATGACGTGTGTGTCAGCAGCCATTCCGCACTGGCTTACACCTAAATGAAAGATAGAGTTCCTTCTATGGGAGGGCTGTTGAGCAGCATAGACTTCAATGGGGCTTGATAACAGTTATTAAGGCTGTGCTCTCAACAGCCCTTTCCCATTCACATCTATGTAGGCCCTGCTTGTTTTAGCCAATTGAGAGGTTCTCCCCCAGATTAGAGTTATTTTAGTCCATCTCTCCAATCACTCTCACACTCCGCCTTGGTCTGAAATCGCCCTCACAAAATGAGACTAATAACTCATTTTCGACAGCCCCAAGCAGCAGGGAATGCTTAAGTCTTTATGCCATTACAGCTGGAGCTGCAATTTGAAGAAATCCTGTGACTGTAAGCGCCATGTTCTCTCCACATCCTCGCAGTGGTGGAGCACATGTGTTTTGTGTGCATATATTTGTGTCATGTAGCACATTGTGTTAAAATGAAAGCAAAAAGTGACCTGCAGGTCGACACTCACCATGGATAGCGTTGTTTCCCACTGTCAGGGGGATCGGCCTCTCGGGTTGGGATTGGAGGTGAGTTTGTGCGTTGGTGGTGTGTGTGTGGTAGTATTTGGGCTTCATAACATACTGACGGCTCAGACCTGGGTGCATTGGTATCGGCCGGATCCTGGAGGGAAGGGAAAAACACAATAAGTTGTCAAATATAACCCTTATAAATGCAATAGTAAAACAAGATCCACACCCATGAATCATTGTTCAACAGTATGCAGGAACGAGCATCACAATTTGTTAAACATCTATGCATGACTAACTCTAAGTTGACCAAACAGGGAAATAGCCCTAATACTTGATGTGTACAGCAGGGTTTTTTCCTTTTACACACGAAACAGCTGCTGTCACAACAGTGACTGAAGTTCTATACACATAGAGAGCAATAGCACATCATTTCAAAATAAAAGCTCCAGGGAATTCTGATTGTAATGCTTGTGATGAGGCCCATCCTTTAATAAACTCTTTGAGTGTATGCAAAGCATTTTGATTGTGTCTCCTCGCCCCCTCTGTCCCCAAAGGAGTCCCATCATTTTAAAATAAAAGCTCCAGGGAATTCTAAATGTAATGCTTGTGATGACCATTCAATAACGTCTTTGTTTGAATGTCAAACATTCTGCCAAAAATTCTTTTTTATCATCTGGTTCCTTCCCAGCTTTTTGAATACTAAACAAATGGAATCAATATTACTATTAGCTTACAGCAAGGTACTAATTAAACCACATGGTACCATCATAGTATTGATTAGACACAGCTATGTAACGGACTCCCAGATGTCACTTCTGGCATCTTTTTTTCCAACAAGCCGAGGACATCTGCCGAGAGCTCGTGCACGTGAGGCCGTGTCTCCCCTGTGATGCCGCGTTGTGGGCGCGCGCTGGGCAACCCGCTCTCCTGGCGAGCAGAGAGCTGAGATTTTAATGAAGTATTGATACTGAAATATGCAAAATCGTAACGTATTTAACGTACCGGTGCAACATTAAATAAGGAACATCAGCAGTAAGACTTTATTCCACACTATGATGATTACACTTTAAAACGAAAATACTCGTTGTTCCACGGTTCCAAAACTGTGAACTGTGATTCATGTCATTATTGAAAAACATAATGATCTGTGCGTTGTGTTTAGTTTTACATTTGGCATGGTCAAAAGACAGGCCTGATAAATATTATGCCTGCTTCATTTGGTTTGGGTGTGAGCCATTACCTGTGTGCCCTCAAGCACAAGATTTTCATGTTATGTTATATTGGTTTAGGATATCTGTGTTTACCAGAAATCCGAACGAAACACAAATATATTGTGGTTAAAAAGCATATTGCCAGCTAACTTAGCTAGTAAATAGCTATGTACATAAATACCCGAGGATAGAGGTATGTTTGCACGCATCAAAAGATTAGCAGTAAAAAGCAATTCATTCACAATGAATGTACGGTATTTACTGAAGTCACCATTATGTTGTGTGGTTTACAATTTGAGCCGCCACAACGACAGCGCCTACAACAGAGGCTAACGACATTAATGCGTGACTGTATTGCCATGAATCCAAAGACTGCAGCCACTCTTCTGCATGAGTCGTAGGAAACTAAGATCCTTTATTAGTCATCTGAGAAATACGACCTTACTGATGCTGGTTTTCAGAGTGTGGATCTCATTGTCTCCCCCGAATTGGATTTTAGTTTGTATTGTGATTAAGATATGTACTGAGAACTACATTTAACTGAGTACAACGCCGAGGAAAGGAGCGACAGGCAGACACATTGTCATTGAATCTCATGCATGTGATAGGCCCCCTGCCACAGTATGAGTAAGCAAAAACGGATATCTTTGTAAGTAGCTCTGTTATTAACCTGTAATGCCATGAATAGATTTTCTGTTTAGGTTATGCAACCATGTATAAGGGATGCCTCTCTCCTTTATGATGTACAGTAATGTGTTTACATGTATGATTTGGAAGAAAATTTAAAAAACTCTGGTAAATGCTTCTGGACAGTCATTATCTGTTATTAGTCAATTCATGTTCACATTGTGGAGTTCACTAAACTGCTACACGGCTATCAGTGAGTTCTGGGTGTTTTCACTGCTGTGACAATATTGTGTTGTCAGGTCGGTAACTATGATATGTGTACAAATACATGCAACCTACAGGTGTTTTTACGTTCAAATAGCCAAAAGAGTAAGTGATTTTAGTACTGGCTGGATACAAAATATCAACTGTTTGTAGAGTAGGTTAGGTTAGTCCCACATTTGGCAGCAACAAAGACCTTCAAACCTGAGCTGTAAGACAGAATAGTGACACAGTGACACAGGTTATAAACATTTCCACTCCAGCAAAATATCCAGCAAATCAAATAAAGGCTTGTCCAAGGAATGTCTGTTACGTCTTAAATATCTGGGAGCAGATTCCACTCATTTCTACCAAAACAGGATGGTGAGTCAGGGTCGAAGGACTGGTGTGTGTGTGTGTGTGTGTGTGTGTGTGTGTGTGTGTGTGTGTGTGTGTGTGTGTGTGTGTGTGTGTGTGTGTGTGTGTAGGAGTCTGAATCTCGAGGACTACTGTCGTCCGTTCAACTGCAACTGAGGCAGACGGGTGGAGGGAAATTAAGAACATCTTTATAGTGTACGGTAAATTCCAGACTATAAGCGGCTACTTTTTTCCTACGCTTTGAACCCTGCGGCTTAACGGTGCGGCTGGTGTATCATTTCCTACGTGCTACCACGCGCGAGTGAGACAGACAGGCGCAAGTTATGGGCAACCACGCTCCGCTACGGCCGACGGGGAGGTTGAATAGGAACCGACGCGACTCGGAGTCCGATTCATTTTTTTGCGTGAGAAATTGCATGTGTGGCGGGAGTGCGTGACTAAAGAGCGAAATTGGTGACTTGAGAGGACAATGTGTCTGTTAGTAAGCAAGAATCGTTATAGTTTTGGTCATCTTTTGGTAGGCCGCGCATGCGTGACGTGACCTTCAGACCAGGACTGACTATGATTGACAGTTAGAGCGTTCTGTCACAACGATGTTGTTACGTATCATCGTGCTTTTGTTGGTGGGTATCAGAAATCCTTGACTTTTCCTAGTGGGTAAACCTGCGTATCACACAGACTTGCCATTAATGAATCAATGGTGAGACGTTGGAGACTCAGTGAAGAACTCTGGCACGGACGACATCCTTAAATAGACTCAACCTGGGGCAACATTGTTTTTGCCCCAGGATTGAGCGCCCTCTTGTCTGGGACATTCCTGACTTAAGAGGTTATTGAGAGATTCGCCAATCCTTCTTAGTGTCAAAGATTGTTAAACTTTTATTTCAAAACTATTGTTTGTGTGGCAATACATGTTGAATGTTGAACTACAAATTAGTATTGTGTTTTTGATACCTTTACAGTTTTGCATGACATCATTGCGGGATGTTCGCTGAAATTGATTGGATAGCTCTACCTAGGAAATTTTTCACCCGCCGCCACTGCTTGAATCCATGATATAATGAAATGCTAAGCTACTGAAATTATTTCATTCACTAAACTGCTACAACGTTACAGGCTATCAGTGGGTTTTGGCTGGTTCTACTAATGTAACATTATTCTATTTGGATCAGTGACCGTAAGTAGGGTTGATAATCAATCAGTTAAAAATCCAGGGCTACTGAACCGGAGTTACTAGTACTAGTCAGGTCTCAGATGGTAAACGTGTGTAGAACAGTCCCCATTTGTTTGTTTTGCATAGTGTAATCCTGTACGTGACGCCATTTGGTAGTTTTTTCACACACTTTTTCGCACCATCCTGTTTTCCAGTTTAATGGGATCCCCATATCCCGTCTGTCGGGCCAATCAACACCCAATCTGGCCTTTTCTTTGGTTAACTCTCTTGACTCTAGTTTAACGCCAATTCATGCAAGCTTACCCTGACAAGTATCCTTAAAACTTTCTCTCAAGACTAATCTGTTTGGTTTAGGAACCTTTATATCCTTTATTCATATAATATATCGTTTCTGCACAGATTTCTGAAAGGTTAACTCATTAATAACTATGTCAGACTCATTCCCTGTACATCAAAGGGATGACTGTTTTTACAGCATTTTTCCTGCTGTGTTTATCACCAAGTTAGATCCGCAAGTTCCTTTAACCACAGTAATGTGCATTTTGATTATGGTGGGGTGTATGCTAATGACTAGGCAGACCACGTTGCAAGTTGGGAAATGGTGTTTCAGCGTAAAGGTTATTGATCCTGAACATTGCAAAATGGGAGTTTGGTAAAGCAACCAAATCTTGCCCTCTCTTCTCCCCCATCAGATGACAGACTTTCACTGTTGCTAGAAACAATTGTAGAATAGCTCCCTGTGAGAATTGAATTCTTTCTGCCAATGGGGCGATCCCAAAACATTCCTTCCATGCTTACCAGAAGAAACTTAAATGAACAACTCAATAAAATAGCTTATCTCTTCAAAAAGGTAAATAGAGATATATTACATTTGGTTTTCTTGTTCTTCTAGCATGATAGGTATGGGAATAGTTTCTTTTGCATATAGAGCATGCATAAACTGATGATTTCCCCTTCTGTAAAAAGAGTCACTGTGTCTTCAAAGTAATGAAGTACGGTAATATTAGATATAAAACACATGTTCTCTCAATAGCGACAATTGGGAGGCTGGAATGTCAATATAAGCATGTAGTAAAAAAGGGTCAATGGTGTAAATCTCCTGGAGGAAAAAGTACGTATTGGAGCCAATAAAGCGTGGTACTTACTGTTGTTGGGTATGCTGTTGGATGTAATGTGGTCTTACAAGCTGTGGGGGCGACTTGACACTTAGTTTCATCTGGGCCATGTTGGACGGAGCGGGGGCAGAGTTATAACCATTGACAGGAACTTGCTGAGGAATGGGCCGCTGGGGTACCACATTGTGTCCATTGGTGTGTCCATTGGGATTACCAGCGGCGTGCCCGTTGGTGGGCCCGTTACCCGGCAGGGACGGAATGGGGTGTATAGCCGCCGTCTTCTGTTCGCATGCCGTCCCCTTTGAGCCAGGATTGCAGACACAGAGCTGAGGCCTGAGGCACATTCCTCCATTCTGGCATTTAGGGATGCAGTTGGCTGTAACACAAAACCCATACAGAGAGAAGAGAAAGAGAAAGTGAGGAAGGAAAATAAACATGAGTGACGACAGTAACTTGAGGTTTTATGATTTTGAGTGCACTTTGCTTCTCATTCATTTATGCATTGTAGGGTATTTACGGTTAGATAAGAAGGATTCAATTCAGTTCTTTGAAGGCTCTCGCTGTGCCTCGAGGAATAAGAGTATTAACATGATGGAGCTGACATAGTCTTAGATCAGAAATAGATCATTAGGATTATCTGATACTAAGTAATTTCATATAAAAAGTAACTTTTGATTTAAATAATTAAATTGGCCGAGGTGCAACACAATGTCTTGCAGTTTTCATTGGAATTAGTTGGAAAAAAACAGTGTGGCCTTTGGAATCCAACCATCCCATACCCAAATCCCACACCTCATTGGACATAGGCTCCTTCTCTTGGAAAATACAGATGAATCATAAAAATCATAAATCATGAATAACGTTGACATGGTAGAAACAAGACAAAAAGGAAGGCTGGATTGGGGGCTGGGATGTCTATTTTGTGACTGTAATGTTAAACTCATTTATTGAGGAACTGCCTTGGAGAAAACACATTTCTCTAACAAACCACTTTAGTTCACACAAGCTCAATTAAAAACGTTCCTTACCAAAGCAAGTATTTCTTAGTTTGTCTGTCCTTTAGGACTAGGCTTAAGACTTTCCTCTGTGATTATGCTTATGGTTCGGGTCGGTTCTGGGACCAGCCTGTGGACGGGGGTTGTTCCTGCAGTGGTCCTGCCTAACAAACACTGCTACTGTAATTACCATTTATCGAATGTACTGCTGATAGTGATTGTCTCATCCTAAGCACAGGCATTTGCCAATAATTTGACTCAATTTAAATTGTCAAATGGGTATTTTTCGATTTCTCTCGATTCTCTCTAGAAGAATTCGGTCTCGATTCAGAAAAGTTAATAATCGGAATAAAAAATAAAAAAAAGTTCATCTTGCGCAAGATATTTGCTCGCTCGCGGAGCTTGAACTTCCTCGCTCGCGCTCGAAGGTGTTTTCGTGCTCGCTGATTTTCTTTTTGACAGTAAGGGGGCGGAGCCAGTGACCATGGTCTCTACACCTGATTGGTTACAAAAAGCGTATAGACTTTTTTTCCGGTATTTTACAAATAAGGACCTGTCTGAGACTAAGAGCAGCTTTTTCTTCATTTAAAAGATGTTTTTTTTACATAGGCTACTTCCATATTGTGTTGAAATGCAAGCTGCATTGGTTCTTGCATTGTTGATAGAAAATCCTATTTGTGACAAAGTTTTTTTTTTCTCTTATAAAAAATTAGAGAAGGTAATTCATCTGTGGAACCAGGTTCCACTTTCAGTCCGGGGGGCAGATTCGGTCAGCTCTTTTAAAGTAAAACTTAAAACGTTCCTCTTTGATTCTGCCTATAGTTAGGGCTGGCTCAGGTTAGCCCGGACCAGCCCTTAGTTAAGCTGCTATAGGCTTAGAATGCCGGGGGAATTCTTAGGACACACCGAGCTCCTCTCACGCTGTCATTCTACCATAATTCACGTTTTATTAATGCACATGACTAATTCAGCTTCTTTCCGGGAGTTTTTTTTTGTGCTTTCTCCCCTATCAGGTCTCCGTAGATCGTGATTCCTTCGGGACCCTGGTCCTGACACCTATCGTGGCCATGCTGACGCCTGCTGCTGCCATCATCATTATTATTTTAGATATTAATCATATTACTGTACTCATAAACCAACATTACCCTCTCCTAAAGTCTCTGTGCTCTCCCTCCCCACAGGATTCTGTGGATGGTGGTTCTATCTGATGGTGGTTCTATCTGATGGTGGTTCTATGTGATGGTGGCTCTATCTGATGGTGGTTCTATGTGATGGTGGCTCTATCTGATGGTGGTTGCCCCTGCAGTGGTCCTGCTGTGCGCCTGGCTTACTACTCACAATTACTTGAATCATTTCTGTCATAGGAATTGCATGTATTATATATTGTTCATTCTGTACACATGGCATCCATTGTAGTCTGTCCATCCCGGGAGTGGGATCCCTCCTCTGACGTTCTCCCTCAGGTTTCTTCCCTTTTTTCCCTCTTGGAAGGGTTTTTTTAATCTTTTTTTTTTGGGGAGTTTTTCCTGTGCCGATGGAGGGTTTCGGGACAGAGGATGTTGTATGTGTGTGACTGTAAAGCCCTCTGAGGCCAGTTTGTAATTTGCGATTATGAGCTATACAAAATAAAAGGAATTGAATTGAATCTGTTGATTTTCTTTAATTATCAAATAAAGTAGGAAGTGATTAGCAACCTCTGAGTAGCAAACTCAGATTTGAGAAAATTTAGAAAATCGAGATGCATCGATAATCGTTTTAGCAGTTTAGAATCGATAATCGGTTTAGAATCGAATCGTTGACCTCTGAATCGGAATCGAATCGAGTGCCAAGAGATTCCCACCCCTACATCTCATCTATCATTAAACCTATATTATTGCTTTGCGCTTATCATTTAAATCATTTAACACCTGAACACTCTCGGTTCCATCCCGGACCAAACATTGTCAGTTCCAATGGCGAGAATAAGGATGAGGGAATTTGAATGTTTTAACCAAATATGAAGTGAAACTGGTGCTTCAAGAGACGGCCATTGAGACATAATCAGTGATTAAGGCTGGAAGAACTCTTGGTTTATTTGTAAATGGACAATGTGAACACAAAGCAGACTACAACCAAAAGGCAACTATCGTTTTTTCTGTGGTCTACACCAGGAAAACTCAACTACCAGAGAAAGCCAACTAATTTCCCCACTAACCTTATATGCAAAGGCTGGTAACGCATAATTGTATGTTATCACGCACACTCACTAAATATCATATGGGTGATGTCATTTCAGCTGATTTCATTATCCAACAAGACAGTTAACCTGAGGATCAACGCAGTTCCAAGACCAAGAAAAATGCTTCTGCCATTAACGCAACTATTCCAGCCCCACTACATGCACCCCCAACATGACTCAGTAGCTAAGTAGCTCAGTAACTAAGTGGTCACTGAAATGTTCAACATGCATCAACTGTAAAGAGTCTCCCACAGCAGATGATAGGGGTATCCATTAATCAACTTCAAAGCCTGGCTTAAGGACAACACAGCCATGCACATGCACGCTTAGATACGTTTGGATGAAACCATACAGAGGATGTTGATTGAAGATAACACACATCTGCAGCCTGTTCTCTAACCATACTCATTCCTCAACACTGTTATCCTCAAAGTAATCTCACTGATGAAAACGTTTGATTTCACCACTCTACTGAAAGCATTTCCCTATCTGTGTGTCAGTGTCAGTATGCGTGTGTGGAAAGCCAGCAGGGGAAAGGACACAATAAGAGGCCCTCGGGTCACCTTCTCACTAGGCTCCTTAGTCTAATTGGTGGCTTTGAGTCTTGTGTGACAGATTGATGAAGGGAAAACTAAATGGCCAATGAAGACATCTGTTGGCATGAGGAAAAAGGTTCCTCTTCTGTGGTGGTCCAAATTTATCAAGACAATCACAATGTACAATCAACGTACCAGGTTTATCTGTTTGGACTGTTCTGCAACATCTGAAATCTTTAGAAGGAGTTTTCATTATTTTTAACATTCACACCTGAGTGCAACATGAATGTCGTTTTGTGCTATCCACATTATGCACATTATGAACTGCATTTAAAACATGGCCATTGAAATAGGAGTTGACACTTTATATGTTGTGCAACCTGGTTTGTTTAAAGCCCATTGAGACCATGAGGCCTATGTTTGCAATGGAGCATCCAACCCCACAAGTTGCCTCAAACGCTCCACGGCAAGTTAGGCATGCAAATACATTCTGTAATCGCAGCATGGATTGAGCTTCACCCAGCTACAGTTTACTTAAGTAGCAGCCTGTTGGATGAATCTGAAGACACTGTACTGGCAGGGTAACGGCTGGTGTAAAATAAGGTGGATTGGTATCAAACACTAGACCGCTCTAAAGAATTTAACCTCTTGATGTCACCCTTGACTTGAACATTATGAGACCATAAATGAGTCCATAAATGAGTGTAGTATTTACTCATTTACCTCATTTATGTTTCTCAGTGTGGGTCTTTTGTTGGCTTTCAATCCCAAATGTTGCAAGTTTTCTTGCTTACTCAAAATCAAGAGATCGGCAAAGGTTGCTGATCTGGGGTATTTTTCAAGACGCCTGATAATCTCATGCCAAATGCGTCCGGCAAAGCCTGGCATTGAACCATCTGAACCGCAAATCCTCCTCACAGTACAGCCCTCTTCCATTGCGAACTGGGAGCGTGCCACCATTACCTCCTCCATTGTGTGATGCTTTAGGGATGACAGAGCAAAGGCGTCGATATATTTGTATAATGTTGCAACAACCACTAATTATTTGGTGGTTGCCTCCCTTGAACTATTTTAGCGGGGGAGCTTTATGCTTTGATAATGTAAGTGTTTGTCAGATATTTAGAAGCATAACAGAATACAGTTCAAGTTTAAAACATAAACATTATACAATGTTGCATTAAGATATAGTATGGAACAGATAAGTTGTCATAGAATAGTAATATAGTAGTAGTAGTAGTTGGATACTATCAAGTATAGAGATAGAGATACAGTATAAGAGTTTATGTTACAACATACTAGACCACTGATAAATTAAATAGAATATCAAATATATGGTATCAAATGTTATAATATAATTTGAATATATCAGTATAGGGAGGTTTATAATCAGACCAACAGAGATCCGATGGGGAAAGAGGTGAGGTGAGTGTCTCTATTCAACCAGACATATTGAATGTACCTCTTATATTACTTTTGTAGATTAATTCTAGAATGGGTTTTACCCCTTTATCTCTCTATATTTATGTCGGCCTTCTGTTTTGTTGTCTTTTGTTTAAACTCTGCGTTTGAGTCCTGCCTCCCCACACATCCCTGATATATATGTATCAATATCGAATGGGGTTTGAATATATATACATACATATATTCGGTATTGAGTAAAGAAGAGGGTATTAAGTCAACATAATTCATGTTGCACTTAAACAGAATAAAGTATCATAATGTTTTATTTTGATTAATTAATTTCATTTTGTTTTCAATTGGATGCCTTGATATTTTGTTAAGTAACTATAGCCAGTTCTTTTCTTTAAGTGTTTTAACTTCTTTACTGAATGATCCATAGTTTTGCCAGTTTAAGTTAAGTTTTGAAAAAGTAAAAGTAGTTGTCACGAGAGGTGACAGTATGTCAAGTTTACATCAACCAAAAATATGTGCCCCATCTTTCAAGATCTTACAAGAGCTATAAGTTCTATGACTCTATTCCATTGAGTGAATCATCCTCAAAGATGACGTCATCGCTGCCCCCACAGATGTGGACAGTCTCTTCCCCGCCCTTCTTTGGCCTGGAGCTGCGGCTGCCGTCTGTATGTGAATAGATTTCATTCTTCTGACTTGGGTCGGCTACATAAAAGCTTCCTTCTGTTACATGTGAGATGAACTAAGTGACGATAGCTTGTTAGCTGGAAACAAAAAATAGAGAATGCTGTCCTTGCCCTTGTGATGTAATGGTGCCGGGTCCAGGTGCCTGGGGTGCCAGTCCAGACTCAAACTGAGGTCTGCAAGAGTTAAACATACTTAAGGTGTGTGTGTCTCTGTGTGTGTGAGTGACTGCGTGGCTGTGTTTATGTGGTCGGGTTCCAAGGTGAGGAGCAGAAACCGGGAGGCATAATGATTTTCCTTGATGCAAGACCAGAAAATTCCAAAGAGGAGGAGAGAAAATTGCTGAGACTTTGTGAACTGCAAGCCTGTTTAACGTTGGATGTGGCTGGGACAGATGTTGCCTGAATTCCGAAGTACGTAGCAGTGGAAAGATATGACATAAATATATGAGGTACTGAATTCCTCATTATCAGAGTCACTGCTCTCCCTCGGAGTCCAGATTAGCTGTGATAAGACAGTTTGTTGAGAATCTATAGGCCTCGCTAATGCTCTGGGCGAGAGACACTCATGTTTGGAGCCCCGAAGTTATTCAGCGGCTGGCTATTCATTGGATCCCATTTGACTCTGACAACCACTTGAAGACATAAAAGCTATTTCAAACCTGAAAATGTAGTTTTGTAAATGTTGTTTGCTCCCGTACATGGCCGGTTTATCTTTTTAAAACCTCCCTAGAGGTTTAAGTTTGCTTTTGCACCTTTGCTGAGCCCCCCGACCCAAATCACACCTACTGCCTTCAGTGTGACGTGTATGAACCCAGTCACCCTCAACTACGGTCTGTTACAATGTTCTGATCAGTTCTATCAGATATGATAATATCTTTCTTGCCAGATTTCTGAATGAAAAACACTGAAGGGATGATGTTGTCAACATCCACAAATAGCACATCTTTAATCAGCATGAACTGTCCCTTGCAGCAAAGTTGTGATGAAGAGATGAAGTTGACACGTCAGTCACTAATGATTAGTAAAACAAGAGCCAAATTCAATACATGCTGCTGATGCTACTATCTCTTATTACTATTGCACTGTTTTTAATAACCTGATCCTTTTTAAGAACACACATCCTAGATTTAAGAACTGCATAGTGAACGTTGCAAGACAAAAGTGAGAACCTGACTCGAGGAGCGGAGCACCGATCTCCAGCACTATCGGACCAGACCAGCTGCAATGCGGTCTGTGTATTTCGCCCAGCTGGATTTAGAGTTACTCCCATTTGACATTTTCACTGTCATGTGTGGTGAAGTGATGGAGGACACGGCTGCTACAGTCTACAGGAGATTAGCGTTTGATGTTGTCACGGATCCAACTCATCCTTAACTTAAATACAGACAGCGGACGCCGGACAGTGTGGCCAAATACTAGATCATTTGGGATAAACCCCGTACTTTCCTGTACTACCTGACTACCTGATGCTAACGTAGCCCCTCTTGCCAGTCTCATTCTAGCTCTGTGCAGCAGACTGAAGGTACAATGCTCGGTGCCTGGTGCTTTGTCACATCGCACATAACAAATACTAAGGATAAGGTACTCAAACGGCTCCAGAGGCGCTGTTTGATGACCCGATTGGGTTTACTAGGTCAGCCGGGACGTGCTACAGGTTTTGATGGGCGTAGAAACGTCCTTTTTCATTCGTGGCCAAAATAAACGGTGTAAAATCCGGTCGTAGGTTTTCCGTACGCCCAAATGCTCAAACAAGTCCGGATCAGCTTTTCGCTCACCCTGGAAATCAGTCAAAGATTGCAAAAACAAGGCAAATTCTCCTCCACCTCGTCATCTAGCCCCTGTGACTCAGCACGACTCATTGGCCACATAAGCCCACGTGCAGGGAAAAATATATTTGAAAACCCTCACTGCGATTCACAATGCACCATGTTATGCTCTGCTGGAGATTCAACCGGCCCAAAGGAGCATGGTTTGCAGACACATACATCTTTTCAACGTAGAGATGTGCCAAAAACGGATGTCTGTCAGCTGACCTCAACATGACCGGCCGCTCCGTCACATTTACTCACATGTGCGCTCAGTGAGTGAAGAAAAAAAACAAAACTCACAAATATGTCAAAACTGTGAAGTTCCGAATAAGGTTACAACCTCACAGACGTTTGGATAAACTAACCTAATCAGACTCTCATGTTGATATTGAGTCCTACGCATGCGTTTTAACTGACGGGACATTGTATGTGTTCAAAAATAAAGAAAAAGCCACTAAAGCAAACTTTTAAGCAGAAATTATCGAATATTCTCGCTTCCATCCAGCTTTTCCAGTTGGACCACTCTAAAAAAGCTTGTGTGGAAACATTGCTCTGTGTTTCCCAGTTGGAAATTACCTTTTGAAAATAAATGAACTGTCCTCCTGACAACAGAACGGTCTGCTCTGTATTAGTTTGGTCTACGTGGTTGCAGAGGACGTAAATCTGTCACTACAGGAATGTTCTACTGTTTTGGTTTTGTAAGTCAAGTCTTTCTTGTGTTTAAAATGGGCTCCTGCGTTTGTAGCGCATCCCTGTGTTCCATAATGACCATAGAATAAATTGTCCTTGCATCCTTAAACAAAAATGTCATGACTGTGAGAACCGTGTCAGAGCCAGATTGTGTGATCTCTCACATCCTGGTGCTCGCCAGAGAACTTAGGCTCTCTTTCAGTCTCAACACCCCAGCAGAGCACCGCACTTGGGAAGAGGTGTTTACTTCTTAAATCACAAACTGGCAGGATCTTGTAAACCAGAAAGTGATCTGACTAATGGGCCAAGACAGACAGTCCATCTCAGACCGGATTCTCTTTCACTCTGAGACACATGGTCTTTGCAGTCCGATGGTATTAAAAACTGTCCAGACACTGGACCTCATCTATGAAATGAATGTTTTCCTAATTATAACACGTTTGTACGTGAGAACAAATTGTCTGATTAGTTAGAGGCTTTGAAACTGACATGTACAATTCTCTGAGAAACAACGTGAGACAACGATATAAACCCAGAAAGCTGGAACGGGTATTGAATGAAGAAGACTTAACAATGATGCATTTGCCAGCTCTCAATAGAGCCACGGTTACGTTTAGTACCTTTAGCAACAGCAAGTATGTTTTAAAAGTCAAGTAAAGACTGATACAAAAAATCGAGCGTACACTTACGTTTTGTGCATCTCTGCGACCCCTGAGCAGCACTCCATCCATGACAGCACTGCCCTCCACAGACATTCACCCTGCAAACAGAAAACCAAGCCGTTGAGCTGCAATGCCGCCCCAGAACTCTGTGCTCATACAATACTACTATTTACGCTTTGAAGAGATGCCATTTCAAGTAGACGTCACACTGCCACTTATCTCTTCTACTCAAATATCAACCCTTCGGACACCTGATTGGACAAATCCATCACTTCGGTCGGATTTGGTCAAATTCGGTCAAATCGGTCGGATTTGGCTGTTTCTATATACATTTTAGGTAATAAATAGGCCACGTCAAGTTTCATCAGATATCTGTGACCTAATTTAAATTGTTGTCCACGAGGCTCAAGGGTTTGAACGTTAAGTCATCATAAATATTTTAACTAATTTCATTGTGTGTAGCCCCAAATCACAAATTGGCCTAAGAGGGCTTTACAGTCTGTAAATGTTCCATCGTGGTTATCTGACGTGGCAGAAATCGTCTGGCCTCCAACAATCCTCCCCAGATGTTTGACTTGAGTACCACCCCAAACACAGAACTCATGAGATCTGGACCCTTGTGGTACTAAATACCAATGCAAAGGCGAGGACTTTTGGATATGGTAATCAGGTGTTGTGTTTAGTCTGGTTCTTTAACCTGAATCTCATCGGCTTAGTTCTGGTTTAGGGAAGGTTGCACACAGTCTTGCTTGAGGCTGTTGGAAGGTGGACAAACTTGTGACCTCACAACTCACATCATCATCGAAGAAACCCAATTAGATGATGACGTCGGTTGGCGCTCCTTGGACCGTTTTAGGAGTTATGCATAACATTTGTTTTTATACAGCCCCAAATCACAAATTTGCCTCAGAGGGTTTAATTAAGCAATAAGGTACGAGAAGCTGTACTTTATCGTCCAATAACGTAACAATTTGAGGGTCGACACACGATAACTAACCGTGACTCATTTTGGGTGTGCAGGGATGTGGAACGCTCAGATCAATGCAAACAGGTACTGTACATTACGGCTCAATAATGTTCAGCCTGTGACGTACTCTCAACCAATCAGAGTGCTGCATTTCATCTACCCGTATTATAACATTGGGTAGACATGAGACATCCTTGTTGATCATGCATCTCATCTTTTTTACTCCATGTCTTTTTTTTTCCGTTGGTCTACTGATCGACCACTTGAGAGTCGGCTGTGAAATCACTGCGTCTATGAGTTTGGCCATTCCTGGCCGCTCATTGCATTTAAATGTCGGTCCCCACACATTTAGCTTTGAGCCAAGAAGAAGTTGATGAGAAACAGTGGTTTGTACACATCCTGCATAAAGGCCATTGAAATGAAATCACTTAGCTCCTACAATTAGCCATAAGATTGTTAGCGCACTTGACTTGATTAGATTACGAGCCGCATTACCAGCAGCATCTGCTTCATATGTCCACTGTGTGACATTTTCTGAATAAAACAAAAAGCCTGCAGCCCAGTGATGAAGGTGCAGTTTCAGGGTAACAGCCAATCCCAGCTGAACTGTATTCACGGGTCAAACATCGGACAGTTGTTAAGGTCCACAATCTGAGCAGCTTCGGTTAAGCTGGCGGACCAAACACAGCATGGTGACCTCTATTTGTTCCCTCTTCTTATTCTTTTTTTAAATGTGTTTTTTTAAGATTTTGAATTGAAGGGTCATATCCACCAATCAGCAATGTGTGTGGTATAAAAGGGCCTAATTGACTGGTTATATTAGTTGGAACACTCAGGCAGATAAGTGTATCTAACTGCATTTCCTTCAAACCGCCAGAATCTTATAAAATACCAAGATATGAATTTGATATCGAATTTTCATACCGCCCAGCCCTACAAGCAAGGTGCAAAAATTGCATTCTACGAGGGATGTTTAGTTGCGGAGTGAAAAGTTGGCCCCAATCCTATGATTCGGCTAGCTGCATGACAATTTGGTATGTACAGTATTGGTGAACAGACACTCAATGTTTTTTCTTTATTTTCACTTTTTGAAAACAACACAACTATGAAGAAACACATATGGAATTATGTGGTGAACAAAAAGTGTGACATTTTAGACTTTTTGCTTTGATGACAGCTTTGCACACTCTTAGGATCAGTTTCACGAGGTAGATTTACTTTGAAGAATCTAAAATTATATGGTTTACCACATAATCCCATTTGTGCTCATTCATAGTTTTGATGTCTTAAATGTTAATCTAGAATGTACAAAAAAAATGTAAATAAAGAAAACCTTTTGTTCCTTTGCCATGAACAAATGAAAGGATGTAACTCGACTGCACTTGGTCCCAAGAAACTCGGGGCCTGAAGACGTCTACAAGCTGATTATGAAACACAGTCTTCCTGGTAACAGGAAGTTAATGTCTCTATACTTTGGCTTGTTTCTCTCTCGATCAACATCTGGTTCTTAAAAAAGTAAGACGCCTATGATGCCAGCCCACAGAGCTTTTCATGTTTTGTCAAACAGCGTCATGAAAACGCATGAGCAAAAATGACCAAACTTAGCACACAAGATATTTAAAGACCAAATTATCTGATAGGACTTGAATACTTCAGAGCTGCAATTTGGCTTAATAGGCCCTGTACAAAATGTTGAAGAAGCAGCGGCCGCTGTACGTTTGATTAGATGTATTAGGTAGGTAGACGTGATAAAAAGTTATTTGGGTTCATGCTCTAAACCCAACAGAAATTCAGGCCAATTTTATTTGTGTATGAATTTAATGTGTACTTGTTAATACGATCTAGACCTTTGTGATGAAAAGTTACAAAGGTTTATTGTTTTGTGAAAGTCCATTCTTCACCATGTAAAACTGTGTGGGGGACTTTAAATGCTTCAAACTGAAACAAACATGGTTCACACATTTTAAGGGATTTAGTGATCAAAAGTGATCAACTACTACAGACTGAGCAGTGATTTTACGAGCTGCTGCACAAGCAGTTGGTTTTTAGAACTGCATTTAATTGATTTATTTAAATTTTAGGTCTGTCATGTTGGAAAAAAAAAATTGCATTTACACAGACACATGCGTGTTTTTTGCCAATCTTTACCGGCTTACATTCAAGACACACTCCAAATCTTCACGGCTTAACACCTAACAAGATGACCCGGCTACTCTGCTGGTACACGCAGGAAAAACCTCACCGGAAGGCACGCAGATACCCTCCATGTGTGTGCAAATCAACTTTGAGTTGATTTGCTGATTTCCACTGGCACAAATACACGACAGCTACATCACCATGCTGTGTGCAAATGATTTACAGCTTCAAGCGCGTTCAAGGCTTGAGAGCCACGGAAATAACACCAGTGAATAACTGCATTATAGCGCATAGACATCCAGCAGTTCATTTAGGTCACACCATTGAACCGTCGCATGAGCGTGATAGCGAACACACATCAGTGACTTGTACTTCACCGAAGACACACGGAGGACTCATAAGAAATCAATTAATTCCGTGCCACAAGTTAAGGTTTTAATAGTCAGCCTTCGGACTAATGGCGCAGAGGTGAAGCCCACGTTACTCTGGAAATACTTTCCCCAAAGTCTACAACTTGGTCATTACGACTCGGTGACATCACGGGAGGCCATTGGGTCCCTTTTCATTTCCCCACCAGCCCACATTCCTCCTCGCTGTCACCCGTCCAGAGTTTCTTACCCCGACAGCGTGACGAGCTGCTGCTGCTGCTGCTGCTGCCTGAGCTGCGGGGCTGCGGCCGCCTGGTTCCCCATCCTGCGGGTGCGGACCTGGCCGCCGTAGTTAGCGGTGAGCTCCACGTTGCGCGCGTGCGGCCGCCCCGTGGAGATGGAGCTGAGCCGCGCGCCGCCGCCCGCTGCGGCCGCCGCCGCCGGGCCGGGCTGCGGCGCGTACAGCCTCCTGGAGCCGGCCTGCCTCCGCTGCGGCTCCGGGGACACGCGCAGCGGGGAGAGAAAGAAGCCGATCGAAAATAAGAGGCCCCATCTTATCCGGGCCATATCCGCACCGAATGAGAAGCCGAAAGGGAAAATAAAAAACTTCTCAGGGAAACAAGGTCCGGGTTCCTTTCGGCTCAGTGAAACACTCCTTTCAATTCGCACAAGTAACGTTAGTTAAGGAAAACGATCGTATTCCCGAGCATGTCACTGTCTTTAGACACGGCGTGTTAAAACACCTCGTTAGCTGCCGCTACATAACAACACAACGTTGCTTTTACTTTGAAACTTGAGTAAATTATGAATAGTGGACACAAAAACGTGTGAGTGTAGCTCCGTTTTCTTCCTTCCTCCACCACGAAGGCCCACCGAACCGCCGCAGCTTCCTCCGGGCGAGATTGGACTTGGTCCGCAGTCTGAGAAGCCCGAGAACTCCAGGAAAGCGTCTCCGTCGGAGGTGAACGGAGTCAACTCCGCGCGAGCAGCCAGCCTCCAGCCGTGACGTCGGGAGGGGGTGTCTACATCCGCTGAGGGCTTTTTGGGGCCCAAGGGTGTCAGGGGACCCGCCGCCCACACACAGAGTTACTGAGTGTATATATATAAAAGCAATGGAAAATGTTTGCTGTTGAAGCAGTTAAACTTAACTTAACTTATGAAATGCCTGACAAGATTTCTAAATTTCCACTGTGCTCATTATCTTGTTCACAGAGCTTTACTAAAACACTCATTCCTCATGGTCCAATAAGGCGACTGGGAGGATGACGATTGCCAAGTCTGTGTTTTTACATTTGTGAGTACACTGTAACAAATTGCTGTAAATTTACGGTGCATTTCTAACGGTATCTTACAGTATGTCATAATAACTAACATACAGTTAAATTTCCATCCCTTGCTTGTAAATTAACGGCCAATGTCATGAATAAACAGTTAAAGCTGTCAATTTACAATAATAGCAGACTACCGTAATTCAACTGCATGTTACATATATTTTATGAGGTGGTGGAAATACACATACAAGTGCAGTGAATCACAATCCATCTACATCTGTTGTAGGTTAATGTATGGAAGCCCACGTCAGCCACTGAAAAACAGGTCCTGTAAGTCATCATAATGAGATGGTATCTCATGAGATACGATGATGATTTTGACTTACAGGTGGCCCGGGAAGGGGAAGTTTGGGGTCCCCTGCTGGAGCTATTGCCCCCGCGACCCGACCCCGGATAAGTGGTTGAAAATGGATGGATGGATGGATGGACATTACTATACATGCAGCTGTCACTTGTATCCAAAACGCGTATGGTTTGACATCATTTTATGTGGAGTAATTGGGGGTTAGGTGTCTTGCTCAGGGACACTTCGACTTGGCACAGGGAGCAGCCAGGATTCAAACCGTCAACCTTGCGCTGCACAGCACACCCTTCCTATACCATGCGCCACCTTTGCCATCATTTCAGTGGCTGGAATGTAAAGATTAAAGTTTATTCATAACATTGGCCGTTAATTTACAAGCAAGGGATGGAAATTTAACTATGTTACAGTTATGACATACTGTAAGATATCGTTAGAAATGCACCGTAAATTTACAGCAATTTGTTACAGTTTAGACTTCATGGACTGCCTTTGTTCGCCTATGTATAAACAGTTAGGCACTCAAAGTAATGCAGAAAAATGAGTTCATGCATTTGTTACTTCTAGACTAGATTACTGGAATTCTTTATTATCAGGCTGCTCTAATGTCTCTTGACTTCATCCAGAATGGTGCAGCATGTGTATGAACAAGAACTAACTTTATTACTCCTGTATTAGCTTATCTACACTGGCTCCCTGTTAAATCAAGAATGTGATTTAAAATACTCACCTACAAAGCACTAACCGGTCAGGGTACTGTCGTATTTCAAGGAGCTTATAGTACGATATTACCCTACCAGAGAGCTGTGCTCCACAAATGCTGGGTTACTTGTTCCTAGAGTTTTAGAAAGTAGGATGGCAGTTAGAGCAGTTAGATCAGTTATCAAGCTCCTCCTCTGTAGAACCAGAACTCTTAGTCTGCGTGAGATGCATTGAGTGGGCAACGCGCCGTGTATTAAGGGGAGCTGTTTGACAGTAACTCCCGGACCACGTTTTTTCCCCCAGTCGGCCCCTGCGGATATCCACGGCTACTCTTCATTATTACTAGTAGTCACATTACTTTTTCTAACCGCAGCTCTGCTTTTGTTATGATTGGTAATTCACTATATCTACTACAGTTATTATTAGTAGTAGTCATTTAAAATCTTTATTCTGCTTGTTAGGGTAGGGTTTAGGTCAGTGTGACGTAGCCTACACAGGATGGTGGCGTCAAGGACTCACTGAGGTTTGAGTTGGGATGAGGTGCAGTCGAGAAAAACAGCGCTCTGGGATGCGATTAACCATTCAGTTTTATTATCCTCGGTGGTCTTCAGGAAAAGAGAGAAAAAACAAACACTTTTAATGGACAAAAATAAATAAAAGGAACCAAATAATGACAACCTCTCTGCAGGTGACTTCACTCCAGACTCCCCCGGCATTTACCTTTCCCCTTGCCTTTATACAGCCTTCCAGTCAAGTGGGCTGATTGTGAGAAACCAACTGCCTAGGGGTTCTTTCCCAAACAAGGAATGAACTAGCCCACTTGCCAGTCCATTTGGGGAAAAGGCGCCTCCTTTTCACTCTTCCTTCCACCTACAGAGACTCTCGACAGGAAATCTGCCACTAAATTCTCTTTGCCGGCGCGGAATCGCACTTTAAATCTGTAGGGCTGCAAAGCTAAAAACCAACGTGTTATACGTGCATTAGTGCCCTTCATCTTGCCAAGCCATTTCAAGGCCTGGTGGTCTGTTTCAAGAACAAAGTCTCTACCTAACAGGTAGTACCTGCTGCCTGAGCTGCGGGGCTGCGGCCGCCTGGTTCCCCATCCTGCGGATGGAAAACAGCGGGGAAACAGCTTACGGCTTATGAAAGCCGCCGGTCGTTGATGATCCCCCTCACCCTGGAGTAGTACTGCCCCCAGACCAATTCCCGAGGCATCGGTCTGGACAGTCCAGGGCTGGGTAAAGCTCTGCAGCACTGGGTCACTACACACTGCCTTCTTAGTCCGTGAAGGCCTCCTCATGCTGTCCTTCCCATCTGACTCTTACAGGACCGGCCTTCCTGGATAGGTCTGTGAGGGCTGCTGCTCTACTGGCAAAGTTAGGTACCACCCCGCCAATCCCAAAAAGGACCGGACATCATTCTCGGTCTGCGGCCGCGGGCAGTCGCGGATCGCCTCAATCTTGTTCCTTTGGGGTTTGATCAGCCCCCGATCCAGGACATGTCCCAGATGCCGCTGGGCCAAAGCACATTTCTTAGGCTGGGCAGTCAGTCCTGTCTGGTGTAGGCGGCATAGCACCTCACCAAGATGCTTAAGGTGCTCCTCCCAGATAGCACTGAAAACGACGATATCGTCCAAGTAGGCGCCGGAAAAGGCACCCGCCCCATCCAGCACACGGTCCATCAATCGCGGGCGCACCCTGTAGGCCAAACGGCATCATCTTGAACTGGAACAGGCCCTAGGGTGTTCTGAAGGCTGTGCAGGGCCTGGCCTCCTTAGCCATTGGCACCTGCCAATAACCTTTACACAGGTCCAAGGTGGAAATTAAGTGCGCCTTCCCAAGGTGCTCGATAAGGTCTTCCAATCTGAGCATGGGTTATGCATCAAAATGTGATTGCGCATTTACCTGACCTAAATCGATGCAGAAACACATGGTGTCGTCTTTCTTTGGAACCAGGACAACAGGACTGCTCCAGGCACTCTCGGACCGCTCAATCACTCCAAGTCTTTGCATCACCTGCAGCTCCTCCTGGAGGGCAGGTAACATTCGCTCCGGAATTCTGTACATCCGATGCCGGATTGGGGTGGTGTTTTTCAGCAGGACGTTGTGTTCAGCCATGGATGTGGCTCCAGGCTGGTCGCTGAAGAGCCCATCAGGCGCAGCCTGCAACTCCTGCTGTTGTTGGGGGGTGAGATGTGTAAGGTCAATCTCACCGGTTCGATGGTTTGTAAGGAAGAACTGCTCTGGGGTGTCTTCGTCCTCCGTCACTGCTTGTACCAGCAGCTGTTGGCTTATTGGAATGTCTCTCTCGTGCCACTCCTTCAGAATATTAATGTGAAATATCTGCCGCTTCTTTCTCCTCTCTGGCATGTCCAACTCATAGGTGGTGGCCCCCAGCTTCCTGCTGATGCTGTAAGGTCCCTGCCACTTGGCCAGCAGCTTCCTCTCCTCTGATGGCAGGAGTAGTAGAACTTTCTGTTTCGCTGCCTCACTTTCTTATTGTACCACCGGGTTTGGGTTTGTTGCACTTCGTGAAGGTTGTCTTTCACTAGGTTGGTCATTTCTTCCATTTTCTCCCTCATGGTGAGGACATAGGGGAGAATGTCGATAGTGGTAGGCTTTGGTGACTCCCAGATATCTCTGAGCAGATCGAGAGGGCCCCTTACCTGTCTACCAAACAGGAGTTTGAATGGGGAGAACCCTGTTGAGGCTTGGGGAACCTCCCGGTAGGCAACCATGTGGCAGGGGAGCCAACGGTCCCAATCCTTGCCATTGGCAGCCCTATAATATACATTGGCAGCCCTATAATACCTTATAATACCCAACAAGCTATACACTTGCTTCATTGTGTTTGAAAGAAATGCTGTTCCTTGATCAGGTATAATCTCCTGGGGAATCCCTACCCTGGAAAATAACTGTATAAGAATCGTGGCAGGTGTGAGCTTACGTAAGGGAAAAGCTTCGGGGTAGCGTGTGGCGTAATCACAGATCACTAGAATGAATTGGTGACCTGCTTGTATGCGCTCTAGGGGGTCTACAATGTCCATTCCTATCCTGGTGAATGGCACATCAATGACTGGAAGAGGCTGAAGTGGGAAACACTTGACCGTGTGCTTGGGTTGACATGTGGGACAGGTTTTGCAGTATTTGTATAACTTGGTATATATGCCTGGCCAAAAAAATCGGCTAGCTATTATTAGTGTTTTTACACTACCTAAATGGCCAGGACCACATCATCTGCAAAAATGGCATCTTCCGTCTGTGACCTCCAACTCTCACTGGAGCGTTTCGCAGTCGAGTGTGAAGCGGTCGGGATGAGGATTAGCACCTCTAAATCTGAGGCCATGGTTCTCAGCAGGAAACCGATGGATTGCCTACTCCAGGTAGGGAATGTGTCCTTACCCCAAGTGAAGGAGTTCAAGTACCTCGGGGTCTTGTTCACGAGTGAGTGGGAAGATGGAGTGTGAGTTTGGCCGGAGAATCGGAGCAGCGGGGGCGGTATTGCACTCGCTTTACCGCACCGTTGTGACGAAAAGAGAGCTGAGCCGGAAGGCAAAGCTCTCGATCTACCGGTCAATCGTTCCTACCCTCACCTATGGTCATGAAGGATGGGTCATGACCGAAAGAACTAGGTCACGGGTACAAGCGGCCG